CTCAGGTTCTTGGGCAGGTTGCCTCACTCGTACCTGTATGAGAAAGAAGTGTGCCCCCAGGTATTCCCTGCTAAAGCAGTGATGGTGAATCACTTCTGCAGCACCCCAGCAGAAATCCCGTCTAGTTCACCAGAGACTCTTCATCTTATCCTTATTCACCCTTAAGCACAGAACAGCCTCTGGCTTTAGAGCAACCAAAGGTCCAAGGAACTCTCCAAGGAGCATCATGTTTTTGGCAGCACTTCTGCTGTGGGGCTGGAGAAAGCAAGCRGCACCCTTACTGTGGGGATCACAWCCTCCRTCTTTGCAGGGGAAAARTCCCTTCCTCTGCTACTGCTGTTGCCTCGGCAGTCATGTCCTGGCTGCCTGTGTGTGTCCCAAGAGGATTGTTTGGTGGGCTCAGATGGGAGATGGATGTTTGATTGTCAAGGCCTAACAGCCCTGGTAGCAACAATTCCTGCTACTGGAACATTGTTTTAACTCTCCCTTCCRAAAATGCCAGACAGAAAAGAATTCCTGAGTTCATTCTGAAAGGTTCAGGTGGTAGTTATTTCTGATTGCATTTGGTGGCTTATGAAACACAGGGGAGGGCAGATGTTGATCTGCTGGTGAGTTCTGCATTAACATAYTGAGATTGCCTTATCTCAAGGCTGTGTCTCCTTTCCAGGACCTGCTGGAAGGAGATATCACAAACACTTGGAAAACAGATTTGGCTGTTGGTTAGGAAAGACTGGACAGGTGCAATCAAGGCTATGTTGCACCTGATGTCACACAGGAGGAATTTAGGCTACATTCCTGACCTCTTTTACCTAACTTCACAAGCACTGACTGTGCTAGCAAGTAGTTCAAAAAGCTGGAAATTTCTGACTCCTGGAGAAAATTGACAGCCCCTAAGAAAAGTGATGGCCTTTTCTGTCTAAGCAATGCTGAGTAATTGCAGATATCCATTCTGCTTACAAAAGAAGCAGCAAAAAACAGGGCCAAGGAGAGTGGTTTTGAGCTCAAGATGCACAAYATGGAAGTTCCGGGCATAGAGACAATGGTGTGTTCTTCCTTTCTGACACTGTCCCACAAGGACAAATTCGGTGTCCCTTGAACACTCTTCTCCRGATGTGCAAGACTAGGGCAAGTCACATTAGTGATTAATTTGGAAGTTCCTGGTGGTGATCTTGTTTCCTCCCTGACCTGTGCAGTACTCTGGGGTTCACAAAGATGTCCTTGTGTCAGTATGGGGGATAGCTGGGCAAGCCTCCATCTCCTTGGAAGCTCCCCGCTGTGTCCTGTGCTTGCTGCCWTGCACCAGGCTTGCAGGTCCTGGTGTGCTGCAGGCATGCCATATATCCCCGGGGGATGTTCTAATGTGGCATCTCTCCGAACACAGCAGCACCAAAACAGTTTTTGTATCCACAGTTCTGGAAAGACTGGGGCATACATTTCCCCTCCAAGAGACATCTCTGGTGAGCAGAGGCCTCAGCCAGCCACAGTGGTGCCAACRCTTCATGTGAGCAGTGCTGGTGACACACACCCACCCCACCACTCCTCCCCGAAGCAGGAATCCAGCCAGAGGGCATCTCCCAGGCATGTGCACACTGGGCTCTGTGATTGACACATTAAGGGATGCTTGGAGCCACTAGCTGCATGTTGGGGGACCTTTCACCAGGGACATTTTGCTGGGACACTGCTGACTGTGCCAGTCTTCTCATTCACTTTCGCTGCATGCTTCCTGCTAGGAAGACCTCTTTGGATTCCAACACAAAGTGCATTGAAGTTAACAATATATCATTTATAGCACAGATTCCACTATTATGTAACAGTGCATCAGTAAGGGCCAGGCAAACTTCAGAATTGGGGCTAATTGGAGGGAAAAAAAGAGCCTTGGTGGGGTTCAGTTCCTTACCTCTGTCAGCTCTTATAGGAATGTCAGAATTGCAACTTTTGTACTGCTGAGGGTTCTGTATCTGGTTTGAGCAGTTGAAGGGACAGCACTCAGTCTCCTGTCACCTGCTGGGCCCTGACAATATGAGGAAAWCTCCCATCAGGTTCCTTTCCAGCTTAATGCCATGTTTTCCTCCAAGAGAAGCACATGGCCCAGAGGGGCAGCTACAGGGGTGAGACCCAGCCTCTGCTCGTAGCTCCTGTGGCCTTGAGTGGCTGCTGGGCGTCAAGGTGAGAACTGACTGGCTTCAGTACACTTCTCTGTCATATCTCCACTGTGATGTATGTAAAGTATCTTGTATGTTACAAAAGGATTTTAAAAGTGTCTTAAGGCCTGTAAACTCCGCTGTTTAGTCTGAAGATGGCATTCTGTAAAGAGCCTGCTGTATGAATACGTTCCCGTGCTTTGTCCCCTATGCTATCAACAACCAATTGTATCTGTTCTGTATGTAATAAACATGTTAACAACAGCTTGTTAGCATCAGTGTTCCTATGAAGGCACTGGGGTTGCTGCCCAGTCTTGAACAGGACACTTGCTACGGTGGGGAACACTTGCAGCTCAAGTGTTCCCAAGTTCAACAGTTCTCAAATGCTGAGCAGTTTAGTGGCAAGAAATGAAATGTGGATGGCTCACGAGGTTGAACTAGAAGGGACTGGTCTAGCAAGCTACAGTGCAATCTGTAGCYTGTACCAGCAGCAGAAATAAAAGCTGGAAATAAAATGAGGAACAACTTCAGAAACAGAAACTGGACCAGAAAAGCATCCAAGTGTGGGCTTGCTGCAGCTTTAGTCACGGTGGCCTTTTCAGGTGGACTGCCACAGATAACACATCAGATCAGTTTTCAACACTACAGGGTGGTACCTCACAGTCCCATAGCATCATTCAACTGCAGGGAGCCCCTCAGTCCCAGCAGCACTTGGACACCTTCRTAGCTATTTTGCAGAACTGCAATGATTCAAGGGCTAGACATGGCAATGGTACAAGGGAGCCATGTCCTTAGGACAGGAGAGGAGCATCTGCTCTGAGCAGAGAAGCGTAAGGTCAGTCACCTCCATGACCAACATGCACACTGGTGTGGCACAGGCCAGGGTGTAATACAACTGCCAGTGCCTCTGCAGTTAATGGAGGCACCTAAACGAGGTTTGGAAACACGTGCCGGGATACATCCTGAAGTCCTGGGGCAGCACCCTTCAATACAGCCAGGAGCAGTTTGAGCATGGCCGTGGGTGAAGTACAGCCATGTCTGGTACCCACCAGGGTGGCTAAGGAAGCAGGTCAGTGCTGACACCCTTCAGACAATTCCCCCCATGTTGGTAAACAACCTGTGAGTTAATGTACAAGTTTGGGACGCCCATCAGAGCTCACAGCATGTTCTGGACATAGAATCCAACACATGGCAAACACACTGTGCAGTTTCCCAGAGGGGACCTTCAGCATCAGGGCAAGGCTCCCAGGCTGCCCAGGGCTCTGTGAGAAGACACCCATTCCTCCAGGTGTTACAATCCTGAGCTCACCAGCAGGTTCTAACTGTCCTGATCAGTGCCACTCTGACCCCCACCTGTACAGYGGCCCTTTCCTCCTATGGCCCAGGAGCCTTACTGAAGCATGACCTGGGGTCTTCAACATACGTGTAACTGTGTCTGTCTCCAGCTGCTCCTGGATAGACCCCTTGGACCTGGGGGGTTGGATCTCAACTACATCTTCAGAGATCCCTCCTCATCCAAGCTGCTGTATGAGTCTATGCCTTATCACCTCCATCTACTTTCGCTCCTGGCATGGCTCCCTGGTATAGCCTGGTCATGGGTCATTTCTTGCCTTTCTGGGGCTGTTGGGGGATGCTGTGACCAGCACTTGGCTCTGCTCACTGTGGTCAGACTCAATGTGCCCCCTCATGGAGACACTTCCTGTGCTGGAGTTATGTTCGCATATCAGCTGGGCAGGACAGAGGACTACTCATCCCTGACTCATGACACCTCCCATCTCCCTTGTCCTTGGTTTTTGCTCAGTAGMACCTCAATCATGGTGAGGACAGGAAGACATCAGCTCACCTAGGTGCCCAGCAGTGGAGGCTATGGAAACCAGACAAACCAGACAAACCACCTTCCAGYCACAGCAGCTGCCATGGGAAGGCTCACAGCCTGTGCCTTTAATCATACTCCTAATACTCRCTCTCCTGGATTCTCCCATTCTTTCTGAAGCCAGAGAACTCGATCTGGCACATGCCCTGCAGTGCTCCTTCCACAACAAGGCAGGCTCAGCTCTTCCCAGCCTCTGCACCTTGTCACAGGACCAGCTTTTAACTCACAAGAAAAGCTTTTCTTCTTATCACATCYTAATCTTACAGGAGCCTCTGGTGAGGAACCCTATGGAAATACAAGTGTAATCTATGTGCTTCTGCCTGATGACAGCCATTTCCTGCTGGCTGGGGCCACATGTTCCCAACCTCATCCAGGCCACACATACTGAGTGGAGCAGAGTCCAGTTTGTGCTCTCCCTCACTAAATCCCTTCAGGCTATCCATTCAGGATGCTGCAGTAAATAGAACAACACTTCCTGACTATCTGCACACACAGGAACTAAATAGTTACTTCTGCAGGGAACTGATCTATAAAACTGAACAGCTTTTGTGCTTCCTCTATCCACACCCAGACCTGACCCTCCAACAGACAGAGTAGCAGCATCCACAGCCACTGCAAGAGAAGATGAAATACCAAGAACTGTGCTCAGGAGCTGCATGCTTTAATGTTCGCAACATGCTGCCCTGGAGTAGGGGGCATTTACAATTGGCTTCAAATGGTAAGAGCCAATTTTGCACCACCARAACTAAAATAATTTCTCCTATCACTTGACAGCCATCTTTGGGAGTAAGAGATGGATAGCTTTGGATTTGCTTAGTATTGAAGTCATGTTCCTCCCTTCTTGTTCACTGCCTTCATATGCAAGTAACCCAGATCATTCTGCAGCATTCAGAGAACCAGATGCTTGTGCCTGAGCTAATGGTTTTGCATTTGGCTGTCATGTTGATCTCCAGGCATTGAAAAAAATTCATGRGTTTTCTTAGAACTGTGCTGAAGAATTAAGAAAACATTTATTTCCATTTTCAGATACATTTTTTCAYAGCTCTGTGAAATACTGTGATACTCACAGTCATTTTTCTGTGATYCATGCAGGACCCAAGTTATGTAAAAAATTTTATGCTCCAAAAAACTGCAGCTGGCTGACTAGAGCTATGTATTTAGAGRCTATCCAGGGAACCAAGAAGACTCCTCTGCTGACTGAAACCAAAGTTATGGTAAGAGTCTGAATGTATCTGCATCTTCCCTTTCAGATGAGGTGACTGTACACGGCTGAGGAGAAAGTTTGGAAACATCCTACCACAATAGGCACAGGGGACTCTCTAAGAGTCCTGTGCACTGGGCTTCCAGTAGACATTGAGGGCACGTGAGATGCTCAGGACACAGAAGAAGTCTTTATACCGGTGTCCCTGTACCTTTTTTCTTTAACCGCTCTTGGGGAGAGGCCATGACCTTCTCCAGATCAATAACTGGCTCCTTCATTATTYGTTTTCCCTCCTTCTGCCACTGTGCAAGGATCATGGCTCGGAGCAGGGGTGGGTATGGTAGGAACCGAACAGTCTCCTCAGGCACYGGGGTGAATTTCTTGAAGGCCTCCTCCTCGTGTTTGGGCACCATACGCCAGTCATGGTACATGGCTTTGTCAATCTCCCTCACTTCCTCTTCAGTTTTGCCTGGGAAAAGATGATRAAAACCAGTGGGCAACACCATCACAATAAACTGCCTCCAGGAAACACAGCAAGTGTTGACTCTTAGGCACCCAAAATGCTACAACAGGCAAGTGCAAATGGAGTTTTCAAAGGCCTGGACAGAATATTCCCTGCTATATTAGAAGATCTCACGTCTGTCCTTGAAAATCTAAATAGAAACAGGCTGGAAGGACTACAGGCAAGATGTTCCAACCCTGTGGTGACTCCCTCTCTTAATTTAAAGTTTTGGTTTGTCTCTCTCAAGTTCCATTTCCRTGGCTTTCATCCCTACACTGATGAAAGTTTCCTGGAAAATCAAATGTTAAAAATGCTCAACAACTTAAAAATGAATGAGTACTATAGAGAATAAGTACAACAACCTTTGAATGAGTACTATTTCAGTAATTCCAGTAAGGGAAAATTGTATACTTGACACAAAGCAGCTCTAAAAAGGAAAATTCACTGATTCAACTCCAATCATTAATCTAAAATTCCAGTAAAACAACTTGCTTGCCATTGGACTTTTTCCTTTTTASTGACAATTTTAAGTGGAATAACTCATGCTCATACTGTGTCTTACTTTGGASATCTCAGAACAGACTGTCAGCTCATCTAACATGCTTTTAGTGCTGCTGTTCCCCAAGGTCATCCTGCACTGGCTCTCCYACAGCATTCCTTGGAAAGACATTAAGAAGGCACTAGATTCCAGCTTTTGAAACACGGGGAACTTCTTCTACCATTGATCTGAAAAAAMCAAATTTTCCCAGGCAAGAGGCCGCGGTTTCCGTGCTACCCTCACGCACCCGGTTCTCTCTATGTGTAGGAAAACGAGCCAGTTTTACCTTTGAAGGTCAGGTAGCCCCAGGCTCTTCCATAGTCCATGTTCTGCAAAGAAAAGAGGAACCTGTTGAGGGCGGGACGCGAGAGGGCGGGACGCGAGAGGGCGGGACGGGAGAGGGCGGGACGGGAGAGGGCGGTGGGCAGGATGGGGCAGGTACCTCGGCCGTGTAGTCCGCCTTCACCTTGGTGATGACCCAGTAGCAGGGCTCGTCGTGCGCCCAGAGCCAGGACTTGCGGGTGACGATACGGCCCACGCCGAAACGCGGCAGGCGGCAGAGCAGCGCGAACAGCCGCTTCTCGTTCCGCACGTCCTCCCAGGCCCGTACCGGCAGTCGTTTCTGCGTCAGCGGCCGCCGCATGGTCTCGTAGTCCACAGCAAAGCGCTGAGAGTCCCGCGGCCGCTCCTTTAGCGCCTGGTACTCGCGGATCTTCTTGGCCATGGCGGCGATAGGCCGGTGCAGCTTCTTGCGGGCCATAGCGGCAGCCGTGGGCGCGGAGCCGAACGAAACCGCACCGAGGGCCGCAGCGAGCCACGCCTCTCCCGGAAGCCATGCCGGGCCCCGCGGAARTGGCCCCGCCCGTCCCCAAGCACAGCCGCAGCGTTCCGCGGGGCTCCGGTCGCCGGTGGTGGGTGCTTTCAGGTTSCTGCTGCTGCTGCTGCTGTACGCAGAGCGATGGAGTGCTGCGGCCTCTCGCTGCGGTGCGGACCTGCCGGTGCTGTGAGCTGGGCGCCTCTCTGAACAGCATCTGRTACTGAAAAATCTGAGCAGATTCAGCAATGTCAGGGAACGTTCACAGCCTGAGTAAACCAGATTTTAGGAAGATTAAAGCAACGTCACGGGTTCAGTTCAGTCAGAGGCTGTTCCACGAGCAGCAGCCGGGTCGTGGAACTCGGTACCGGGATGAGATCCAGTCACGGAATGCCAGCACAGTGAGGCCACACTTCTAATGAATAGAGTTTAAGGAGTAGACACTGCATAGGTCAGCTCCTGGATTTTGGCTACAGACGGTAAAYTAAATCCAACAGAAGAGTTCTTTTTTTCTTTTATATCCATATCTTAAAGGAAGCACAGCAATTCCAGCATTGCTGCAGAGTCCTATATTGAAGGCGTTCAGGATACCGAGTGGGTTTTTCCAGAAGCCAAGACCCAATGTGCGAGGAGAAAGGGGTGTATTCATGTGTGCTACACACACACACACAAAAAAGTAAAACACGCATTTAAGAGGCTGACAGCGCTCTCGAAACAAGACTAAAGCGCATCTCTTGAAAAAAGGAGCATATGAATAAGCAGGAGGTACCTGATTAACTCGAGAAACACCGATTCAGGCTAAGATATTTGATCTCAACCCACCCGAATTTGGGTGAAATAGCARAGCAGTTAAACCACTTCTTACAGGGTACAGATCTGGGAGCTTGTACCCAGGGGCTATGCAGCACAAGGACCAAGCTCTCGTCCTTTTAAAGCACCTACAGTCAAGTTTCTGTGGGTGCACAACGCAGAAGAGGTAACAASAATTGGCAACTGCTTGGAAAAATGTGAAATTTGCTTTGTTAGATGGACAGAAATAAAAGGCATCGCCACACACAGCAACTCATCAGGAAAACCGATGCAGCTCCACAACAGCCGACCATATACGGCGTCTCCCCCTGCTCGGGAGAACGASAACAAATCATATTCCAAACCCGCCGCTTCCTGGAGTGACCCCGCGGGGGCTAGCGGGGGATACATACGCAGTCCGAGGGCAGCAAGCAGCGGCAGTAGCGGAACCCTTCGGTTACTGCTTCTTAAGGGCAAATTCTATTAAAAGGAACCGCTGTTACTTCGGGAATGCTGCAATGCCCTTCGCTGCCCCGGCACAAACACGGGACCCGCCAGCGGCGGGGCAGCAGCCACCATCAGAGTGGCCCAGCAGAGTTACACCGGCCCATATGCCGCCGCCGCCGCCACCACCACCACCACCACTTCCCACGGTGCACTCGACACACGGAACTCCTCCGCAACAACCCCCTCAGAGCCCGTGGCGGGCAGGCAGCCGGAGGAGCGTCCTACGGAGGGCTCGGATGAGCCCCGCCCCGGCTTCGGCCCCGCCGCTGCACAGGGAGCCAATGGGCGCCTGTGTCGTCACGGGGAGGAGGCCGCTGACAGCCCGCCCAGCCACGTGAAAGACCGCCCGCCCACGTGACGGGTCCACCCACCCCCCCTTTCCCTGGCTCGCGCTCCCGGCAGTCCTCGCGCAGCGCGGCTGGCCTGTGTTGGTAAGATGGCGGCTGTGAGTCTGAGGCTCGGAGACCTGGTGTGGTGAGTGGCGGCGCGGGCCGGGCGGCGGCCGCGGAGCATGGTGGGCCGGACGCCTTTAGCGGAATCAGGCTGCAGTTGCAGAGATGCAGGCGGGGCGGCGGYGGGGCTATGCCCGGCCCTGGGAGCGACACAGCGGGAGCCGAGTCGGGCTGGGCCGCGCTTGGCGCTGTCAGTCCGCGGTCGATTCCGGGGAGCGGCTGCAGGCAGGGTGGAGCTTGGCAGGACAGGACGAGCAGCGGGGCCGCTGTCGGGTCGTGGATCTCGCTGCCGCCGTCCCTCGGGAGCGACGGGAGACAGCACGGAGCCATGGGTTCGGGTCGGCGGGAGGTGGCCTGGGCTGTGAGCTGGGCCGGCGCTCGAGGCTGGCGGGGCTGGTGCATGAAGGAACCTGTGTCAGATGGAGGGATGAGGGCAGCGGAACGGAAGGACGAGCGCCGCGGGGCTCCGTTGTAAGCACGGGCTCAGTTCTGAGGGATGCGAGAAGGGATAGGGATAGAGATAGAAGGTGTTCAGGGAGAGCCACGAAACCGTTTCTTTGCSATGCTTTAATGAAGCAATACAACAATCCAGCGTTTCTTTGCAGGTTGGGGTGTCCCTGTGGAAGCCCCCAGAAGCCATTTCCCTTTGTCACTGCGGTCTTAACCTCAGATAGTCAGAGCTGTGATTTTGTGTCTCCTGGTCGGGAGAAGTGAGAGCATTCCATCGCGCCCTGTAAGCACCGATTAAGTGCACAGGTTCTGCTGTGGTGGACAGGCCAGGCTGTCCTGGCAGGGCTCAAAGAAATAGCTAATTCCCAACACACAAATGCTGTGTGATACATTTTCTGCTGATAACCCAGACAAAAAAGAAATGTATGGTTCTGTCTGTGACAACTGCAGCTCTCATATGAAAAATTGACTGGGAAGTTCTCTTAATTTGTATAGTAAAGTAAGTAAAGATTAGTTACTTTCAGCATATTTCTTTCAGATGAGATTTTGGGGAGTGTGCTGCTCTAGATGTTGGAATGCAGATTATCCTGCTTTAGTTTTGTACATGACAGACACGTGCTGTCCTTAGAGCAGGAACCTTTAACAATCAGACAGCARCAGCAGAAAGGGTTTGCTGTATATTTTGCTCAGTACAGGAATAGGAGCACTGAATGTAGACGGTCATGGTCACAGCTCCTTGCAGCATTCCTGCCTACCCATGGCTTCTGAATGCTCTGTGCAACTTTGCCATCTCGGGGGGCTGCAGTGCTACTTGCTGAGAAGTTTTGTGTCCAAAGCTGTTTCTTTGCCCTCTTGCAAGACAGYGACTGATGAGGTTTTGTGAGTACTGCAGCACGAGTTAGTGACAAGGATAAAAAAAGGTTAAAGCTGCTGTACTGAGGGCYAAGACAAATATCTCTTACTCCTTTGTGATTCTTTCTCGTATTGCCTAGTTTTCATAATGGAAACATTTGCAAGTGTAGAAATTAAACTTTTTTGCCTTTCTTTTATGGCTCTTCATATCTTCAGTTAGTGTGGTGGTGAGCATCTGAAAAAAGTGATAGTGGAATACCTGTTGAAGGAATCCTGCCATTAATGGTTTCATGTGAGAATCAGAAATCAACTTTCTGAGCTGGGAGTTGGTGTCTACTCTGGACCAGTGGATAAGAAGTTCCTAACCTGAACTTCTGTCKTGATTGCTGGCATCAGTACTTTTTTTCAGTTCCATGTTGRAGGAATCTCCCCCCTTAGAGTGCTACAATGCCTATTACTCTTGGATCTTACAGGCACCATAGCTTCTGCTCTTCAGTTCTGACAGTCCAAAAAGGTCAGACAGGCTGCTTAGAGACCTGGGTTAGGTGCACATGTCAGCTGTTTGTCATACCGTGCACAGAAGGTTTTGACTGCAAATTGTAACTCTGTTCATGTGAAAAGTATTAAATATGTGAAAAGGCAGACAGTGGGATAGTTATTTTTTTCTCTGGTTCTAGTGCCTAATACTTTCTTTTTTTCTCTAGGGGGAAGCTGGGCCGTTACCCTCCATGGCCAGGAAAGGTGAGATTTGTTTGTTTTTATTGTTGCTTTCTTAGTTTTTAATGGTTTGTGGGGTTTTTTTTTAAATTTGGGATTTTTTTTTTTGTATTTTTGTTCTGTGTAGGGAAACCTTTGCTGGAAAGTATTTCGTTGTAGATTAATACTGATTTTCTTGTTTGTTTGTTTTTTAAACACATATACCCACAATTCTGAAGTGTGAACTAGTTCAGGCCTTTATTTGATCTAGTAGCTTAGTCTCTCAATAACAACTAGTAGTTCAAATGGAATGGAAAGCAAACAGAGAGCCAGCTCTAAAACTGATTGAGTTTCCCAAATTTAGTTGCTTGGTCTTTGTCACTTTCTGCAAGACAGGTTTTCTTTTCTTTTGAAGTAAGTTGGTTAGCAGTACTGTGCTAAATAATAGAAATAAGGAGTCTGGCTTTTCAAGATACTGTTTTAGAGCTATAGTTTTTGAGAATTATCTGGGATAGTTTCACCCTGCTTCTGGTTTGGTTGGTGTTTTTTCTGATGAAGGATTTAAAAAAATKAATTTTATATGCCATTTTTTATTATTTCTACTTCTCTGAAAGAACTTTCTATTATCTTTTATGTGGTATGAAGGCTAAGCATGCTGAAGTAACAGCATGAGTCAGGGAAAAAATCGTCAGTGGGCTGACARCTATAAGCTTTTGGTTATTGGATCAAGTTAACACTAGGCTCCTCTACAGGTGTCACCTRTGTTACTGAATGACAGCTTTTCTCCTTGCTAATGTTTTAAACTTGATAAGCAATCTATTCCTGGAGTAAAGACAAAKTTTCAGTTTAAATTTTAAAGGTTACCTAAGTGGAACAAACTATTAATGCGATTTGACTTTAATTTTATAAAAGGCATCTAGTTTATCTGTTAGAACTAGGGAGAAGAAACATCCCTACATTCCAAGTGAGCTTATCAGTGGTATTTGGGTACTTCTTCACTCCGCTAAAGCATGCCTATATCTAAGGAAATACTTGGGTTACATATTTACTTCAAAAACTTTGAGCAGATTCCAGTTATTTTCCTAATCATATTAAAAAAAAAATTACAGTAGCTGAATACCAGATGGTCAAATCACAGAATTTGTCACTATGTGCTTTTTAACTTTGATTTCTAATCACCWTCAGATTGTTAACCCACCTAAAGATTTGAAGAAACCTCGAGGGAAAAAGTGCTTCTTTGTGAAGTTTTTTGGAACAGAAGATCAGTATGTACCTGCTTGTTTTCATCTGGGGGAAATACTGTACCACATCATGTGGATTTTTTGAGGAAAAGTATTTACTTACATAGTGTGATGTAGCTTTGTAAAGTGTTCCCTTTGAACCACACAATAAAAGTAATTCAGTTATTATTGCATGCTRTAGCTGCTCACCGGAGTGTATGAAGAGACGGCAAAAACTTGTCTTAGGATATGAGTTGCAGCTGTATGGATAGTTTGCCACTTTTAGGTGTCACATGACTGGGTTAGATTTTAGCATGTAACCATGTATGAGTAAGTAATAACTSAGAGTATTATTTTATTTTGCTGCCAGAGAAATAAAATTAACTACGTAATTTCCATTTGTGAAAGAATATACTATCCTACCTAGTGACTGAAATTCTTACTTTGCTTATACTGTGCTTTACAGTATAAGAGAGCCAAAACTGTYGTAGGCTTCATTTTTGCAAGGCAGAATTTAATGACTTCAAATGTGAACAAAATCATAGTTGTATTAGATCTAAATGATTGCAAACTAGGGAAAAAAAGCTAACCAAAAAAACCCTGAGAACTTTGATATTTTGTGAAACTGAAAATTATTTTCCTAACTTTTCAACTTTTCCTCTTTATTTTCTGCTATTTCCCATTAAGTCATGGAATAAAGAAGAAAATTTTAAATATCTGTGGAAGACTAGAAAGCCCTTTACTTTTTGGAAAGAAGGTGACAAGAACTGAGACCATTTGATAAATGTTTCTTAAGGAAATTATTTTCCTTAATATTTAAAAATACTTTTCCATTAAGAAATCAGGTCTAAACTTGATGGAGTAGTAGTGAATACTGCATACTAATGGGAATGTTTGGATCTCTAGTAACTTGAGGCAGGTGAAGGTTGATTTGAAGGCAGAGAAGGATTTTTGGTGGCATTATTAAACATGATTATTTGAGCAAATAAATTCTGAGTTGAAGTGGATTATTATTATTAAGAGCTATTTGTTCTTAATCCTTATATTTCACATTACTGAATCAAATACAGATTTTTTTTTGTATTAAAACAAGTGGTCAAATGTCTGGGGTACTGTAGCTGAGATWAACAACATGAAGAGTTGCAAATAAAGTGTTCAGAGCTGTAAAATAATCGGGATTTATTACAGGATTCTAGAGCTGTGGCTGGGGTAAATCCAGTCATCTGGCACAGTAAGGTAGTGTTATCCCCTCTCCCAGTCTCCAGCTTGTGAAATTTAATCATATCRTGCTAGATAATCATGAATTAAAAAATTGCTTCCTTTGACTGACATACCCTACCTGAAAACTGAGTAGAAATAAATACTAAATGTTGATAGAAGAGAGAGAAGCTTATCTGCCTCTTCTGTCCTGACTTGAAACTTCAAAAGGCTAKTCTGCTTAAAACTGTGGTCTAACCAGTGTGCTGCTTGAGAAAAATTCTTACGTTTGAGCATAATCAATGAGCCAAATCAGGAAAAATAGAAATGATGTTTCTTAAAACATGAACATAAAGAGAAAATCCCTTTACTTATTTTGTACAAGTAAACTRGTGGGTTTTGCAGATACTTTTTTCAGGTGTGTGTATAAACTGTAYTTGGAAGTATGTAACTGAGTGAATGTCATCAACTTATGAACAGTCTGAGGAACAGCAGAGTGCAGAGCTGTCACTGTCTGAGGGGTGATGAGGAGCACGCTTATCCGTACTGATGGTCTAGAAGCATGTAGCTTCTCTTTGGAGCACCTCACTGTTTCTGCCACATTCATGCTGTACAATGACATTTCTGTACTGTGGATCCATTGCTGCAGCTCTTATATTACTACCTTACCCTTTGAAGTTGAACTGGAGAGAGTCTGGACATCAGCTGTTCACCTCTTGTCCAGTTGTGTAAGGAAAAGGTGATGCTGCTTGCTGGGTAGAATCCCTTCCACAAACTTCTGAGGATTGTTGCCAGCCAGTTTGTGGAGAGGTAGGCAATCTCAGGCCTTATTTTAGTCTTATTTCCATSTGAGGATTCCTAGGTGCCTGCTGTGGCCAGAAATGCCCCTGTTTCAGACTGGGTACAATTTGTTCCCTCCTGACTCGTGTGGCTTTGGTTGTCATACTAAAGATTAAGGGAAAACATGTTTAGAAGTAAAAACAGATGTACRTAAGCATAGCAGAGGGGTAAATAAAACATATTGATGAGTTTGGCAGTGGTTTTGGTATAGTATGTAGGTTTTGATTACTTGTGAAATTCTGGCTAGCTTAGGATACAGCACAGAGGAAATGCATTTTCCTTTTCCTGCAGATCAAATACTAGTATGTACTGGGCCTGTGCAATACTGCAGTGACTAAGGGAATAGATTAACTGGAAAGCTGTGAGTAGTCCTGGTCCAAGACAAACAAGTGAGAACATGAGTGCATTCAGACTGTTCTCTAAGTCCTGTCTTTTGATGAATTTTCTACTGAGCTCTGTAGGTTTGTGTCGGTGGTGTTAGTTGTTCCTGTTACTTCCAAAGGAATGTGTGTTCTGGAAGATAAGGATTCTCTACCCATGGAAGCAGATTTGGCTTATGTTTAAACTGTGAAGTACATATRTGCTTTAACAGAGTAGGAGACACCTCAGTGTTCATGGTAGTGAWGTAATGTGCWTGTCCTATTGTAARTGATTATGTACATTAAAAGTAAGGCAATTATGTAATGTCTCTCTATTACCTTGTTCTCCAAATTGGTAAGGAGGTTTTTCTAGTTTGCAGAGGAGTTGTTTTTTTGAGTGTCTTTTCTTAGAGTAAGTCGCATTAAAAGGATTCTTTGTCTAAAATCAAGAACAGTCGGTATTTCCTGTCCATAGACCTGACAAGCATGTTACAATATCCATTACAGGAATCTTAACAACAATTTTAATTTAGTTTAGAAGTGGAACTTTGACCTCTTATCTGTGTTTCTAACTGTGCTTCTCAATATTTTAAATCCCATTTTATTGTTATTTCCATGCTACAGTCTTGTTGTAGAAAATCTTTGTTGATATTTCAGTAGTCAAATAAGAACTTKTATATTGCTCTGTATGTGCATTTATTGTTTTTAGTAGTTAGAACTAATAGACTGATAGGCCTTCTAGTCTTTCTTGGTGTGCTTCATCCAGTTCAAAATACTTTTACACCTCATGGCCTGTTTAGGAATTCAGTATTACATTTGTCAAAACTAAAGATATCATTGCGTTGAAGRTATCTTTCTACTGTGATTCTATAGAAATACTAGGGAGAGTCCTGCAGCCTTCAGAGATGTGTGTACAAACACAGCCATTCACCTCCCTTTCTGCCTTCCTTCCCTTTGATATCCCCTAATAGCCCCTAATGGATAATCCCCTAATGGATTTGCAAGTGGTGTATATCAAAGTTTTTAACAGGAAGCTGGGCAACCCATTCTTGCTTACACCCTTTTGAAGCATCAGTGTGAARCTAAATTGGGTGGGGTCAAGGGGCCTTCCTGACTTGATATACTAAGGAAAAAATGGAGGAAGTAAATGGGGGAAGTTTGCAATCTAAGATAAGTGTAATATTTTGCAGCCTGTTTCCATCAGGCACAGTAATTTCAACACAGCACTYATTTCCTTTCCATCCTCCATGTCCTATTGTGATGCAAGCACTTACCCTTTTCTTCTGCAACTGTTTTCGCTGATTTTCAAGGAGAGAGTAATTTCAGGATGTAGTCTTTCTGAAATGTTTTTTTCGGGTGCTGRCATCACAAAACACTTGCTTTAAATTTGCCAGCTGTTGGAAATACACCATGGCGGTCTGAGGAGATGGAGGGATAGGCTGACCTGATGAGCAGCAGGGGAGAGCCTGTGTTCCTGGTGCTTCTCAGCGAGGCAGATTATCCCATGCAGAACTCTGTGTTGCTGTAGCAGAATCAACTGGAATGTTGTTCGACATCTGTGCAGGCGCAGTACCATACCTGAATATCACTGCAGACAAAACTCTTTCGCCTCTTACTGAGGAGGTGTTTTATTGCACAAATTGGAAAAATACAATACTTCATTTCCTTCAGTATTGTCCTGCTTTTTGGTTTCTTCTAAGTATCCCTTTTTTCTAGTATGATGTGGTCATCTTTGGGGTTTTTTTTTGGTAGAAGTTTACATACAAAGTTGTAGAGTTCAGTTATTTATTTAATTGATGAGGATTCCTTTTTAACAGAAGGAAATCCATCTTGGTTTCTGTTATGTGCTTACACACACTGGCCTTGTAAATAACTAAGCAATTTTCTTTCAGCTTTCAGAACTGCTTGTGTTAGCATTTAGTGGGGGGATCTAAAGTATTACAGTCTAAAGCAATAAAATATTTCCCAGACTGTGGTAAATAGAAATTTGGAGATACTGTGCCACTGTTTTTGCATCCCTAACCATAAGATTTGCATAAAGTGAGGATTGGTGGATATTCTTCCATCTCATTATTGCGGTTTGTCATTAGAAGTTGATGTCTGTAGAYAGGAAGAGAGTGGCTGGAATGGTGAGGGTTTGAAAAACTCTGCCTTGTGCCAAGCTTGTGCTGGGGGTTTGAATCCAGTGTCTCTGTATGTCTCTGTGCCASTGTTTCCATGCAGCAGCAGGTCACTTCTATACTTGCCTCTACTTATTCTAGGTTTTGATTGTTGTTGTTCATGGTTATCATGTGGATTTGACATGAGTAGTGATTTTTTTAAAGAGTGGCATTTTGGAGAGGATGAGGAAGTGTGCAGAAATGAAAAGAGAAACCCATTGCTAGTGGGAATTTTTATTACATGTTTTCACTTTCCATGTAGCCCATTCTTTACAAACGCCAGGTGACTGTGCAGCAGTATGAACGCAAGTTCATCTTCAGTAATATTCCTAATGTTTTTCCTGGGTATTGATTCGTTGTTGAATCAGGAAAGAAATAGTAGATCCTTTATTATGTTGTATCCTTGAAACATATCTAAATATTGGCCTTCATTGGCCTTKAGGGTATTGAGATCTTGTGTATAAACATGAATGTTGTTTGGTGAAAAGTTCTTTTGTTTTCAAGTGCTTGAAACACTGCATGCAATTGGTTTGTGGACATCTGGTGTCAAAAGACACGCTCATCTCTTACAGAAGGTTGTCCAGGTAGGTGATGCATAAAGAAGCTAGAAAGGAAAAGACCAATTTTTTTTTTTCTTTTCTGTGAAAGTTTATTTTTAACTGAATTAGCATTTAAGATTGTTTGTCTCTGAGATCTCTTAATTCTTTGTTCTGGTGGATCACGAGTGCCAAGATGCATCTTTGAAACCACAGACYGGAAAGCTTTGTACTTCAAGCTTTCTCCATACCAAAGGAAAAGGAATGAGAAAGGAAGCTAATGAACATGTACAGTGAGGAGGGATAGGATGTGCAGAAATCYAAGAGAATGCCTTGAGAGAAAAGAACTTAATTTTATTTAGAAATTCAGTCCTGCAACAACATTTAATGTTCTTTTTTTATATTGTGGTCCAAAATTTTCTCTTCATTATACACATAATGAAAAGCTTCTCATGAGCTGGTGCTCTGTGGTACCCAGGGACATTTGTAATTTTTTGTCATACAGGCAGGCTTTACAGTGTAAGATAATTTTAAGGTGTGTTTCACAGTAGTGTCTGGGCTGCTGGGAGATTGYCTGAGCAGCTGCTGGACTCAGACTCTAGTCTGAATGCCATTATTTGACTTGTTATATTAAGTCAGTTCTTACAAAAATGATGTAAACTAAGTGAAAGTATTCATCTTTGCATGCAGAAGCACTGGGTTCTTTTGGAAACGGTGCTGCCATTTTMCACAGACACTTCTACAGGAGGTCTTGTCTCTGCAAATGAGACCCAAAATGTTTCAGTCTACTTCAACAAAGTTGATTCCTGRTTACAAAAAATTATTAATGCCAGTGAGGAGGAAGGTCTTAATGAAGTTACAGAATTTATTTTGTGAAGAGAGGACAATCAAGTTTCAGCAGAGCATTACTATTTTTGTTTTAATCTTCATGTTCAATTTAACTATATGACATGGTGCTTACAGTGTCTGAAAATGCAGCTATTGAATCACTTCATCTGCTTGCAGGAGCTAGACTGTGCGGAGGAATATTTAATACCTGTAATTGTGCATAGTCTATGTAACATAGAGATGTCTGAGGACAAGAGAAAATCTGATTGCCTCATTTTTGCTGTGTGCTGGGCTGCTGTGTGCTATGAAGTACCATTGGCCATATTGATGGAAGGGTTTTCAAAACTTACAGACTTCTGTTTTCAGTAGGGTGGAAGTAGCTTTGTAACAGTGTGGCTGATAAGCCTGGGCTTGAATTTGGGGTGGGAGAAAGGTGGTTAATCTCTGAGAGCCACAAGGAATTCAGGCATCAAGGGAAGCAAAGGCATTCTCTTAAACCCTCGCTGAAGAARTGGTGGAAGAACTTGTTTACCTGAAGGAAAGTGAAGTTGTCACCCATACTTAACAACTCTAACATYTGTTAAATGTCAAGAAGTCTTATTTAACATGAGTGGAAACAGGGAAGTCATTTGGTTTTCCTCAGTGGACTGCAGCCTTAATAGGACTGCAGGTTATTACTCTGCTACTGTACAAATCAAGTTATCTCAAAATATCAACAGTGAAGAAAACAGTTCTTTTTCTTCAAAAACAAAATTGTTGTTTTCATGCAGAATACGAGGRTACATCAGAAATATGTAGAGCAGTGAGCTGTGGCTTTTGTATTCACTTTGTGTGGTCAGCTTTATAGTGAGATACATAGTTTGGGGGGGCTTTCCTACAGTCTTTTTTGACACTTGTGTGCTGAGTATATTTGAACAAAGGACTGATAGCTGAGAATTGTTAGGTGAGCTTTGCTTTCAGCAACCTCTTGAGCAGATTCATGGTATTGGCTACTTTACATGGAAGTGTGGGATTGTGGGTGTTCCTCCTGGTGAAACAAGAAAGTCACTGGGCTGCCATTGTTTTAAACATGTCCTGTGATCACATCCAAAAGCTGTTTTGCCAGTAGAGAATATAAATAATGCTTAGAGTGGGACAGTGCTACAATGAGATAAAGCTTAAGAAGTAATAAAATAGAAGTGCCAGAAGAAAGTTCTCAGTGAATACAGTGATGGCAGCCCGTCAGTTTCTAGGCAGCGAGTTTGGGCTGTTGTTGTCAGTAGATCTGGGGGAGAAGGTGAAGCTGTGTGTTTCTCAAAGCGCAATGATTGAGAAAGCCACTGTTTGGAGAATATAACTAGCTTCTTTTTTGTGTTTCAAGTGCTTGGATCAAAGTGGAGCAGCTGAAGCCTTATCACCCTCACAAAGAGGAAATGATAAAGATTAACAAGGGTAAGCGCTTCCAGCAAGCTGTGGATGCTGTGGAGGAGTTTCTTAGAAAAACCAAAGGCAAGGACCAGGTGAGTGGGTTCTTTTTCACAGTGTGCATCAAAACAGGTCTTGGCATGAATGATGATTAGATGCCTTGTTATGTGAAATGAGTTTGTTGCCTCTGGCAATTTGAGGGGGGTTTTGTTTTCCTTCCTTTAGTTTTGGGGGTTTATTTCCTATCATCTCATCTTCCCCATTCAATCTTGTTTGTTGGGGAAAAGTGTTATTAAACTGATGGAGAAACTGAAGAGGCTAATTGATCTGCTTGTGRTGATTTGATAAATTAGTCTTAAGAATTTGGTATCTACTAATCTTGTCCTTAGTATGTTGAAAGTGCACACAGTCCTGACAAGTCTTCAGGTGGCCTGTTCTGTTACGYGCTTGAACTAGTGTATTTTTGCAGGAGAACTAACCAGGAACTTCATTCACCAATTCCAAAGGGCTAACATACCTAGTTTTCAAGTTACTATGCTGTTGTTTTGCTTGATAGTAATCAGCACAAGGTCCTTCACATTCTTGSTTTTGCATGAAAATCATTCCATCTCTTCTCTTCTTTCCTTACCATCTTCTATTCTATAATCTCTCAGGCGTGTTCCCATAACTCCACTGAAGAGAAGAATCGACGTAATTCCAGTGAAGAAAGAGGCAAGCAGTCCGCTGGTGAAGAGAAACGCAAAGCCAGTTTCTCTGAAGGAAAGGTGAAGAAGGGCACAGGGGAAGGAAAAAAGAGGGTCTCTTCTGTCTCGTCAGAGAGAGGATCAAAGTCACCCTTGAAAAGAGCTCAGGATCAGAGCCCCCGAAAGCGGGGGCGTCCACCCAAGGATGAGAAGGTTTGTGTTGTGCATGTCCGCCAATGCCCATGGACTTGGCAGCTGGACTTGAGGGCTGACTGGCACCTTGAGTAACAGGCCAGCAGGAAGAATCAGTTCAGTATCCCTTTTTGTAAGCTTCTACTTATTGCTACTTCTAGACCATTTGTCTTCCCGATACCTTTTGCAAGCATATTATTGATTCTCCTGCGATTTTTACCAGTTAGTTACTGTGAGTGGCTCTGTTCATATCTTTGAGAGGGTTTTGAAAGCTGTGTCAGGAGACTTSATCTTCCGTCTTGCCATCCCTCAAGTTCAGTTTGTGTGGGAAGGATTAGTGAAGAGATACGGGTCTTCATTCAATTCCTGACTTCTCTCATCTCACCTACTTTGTATGATCAGTGATTAGTAGTCACTCAACTTCAACCTTAGTACTCACAAAGAGTGAAGTATTCTTAAGGGCTAGGGCTTRAAGAAGAAATTTGTAGCCTGGGGAATCTGCCGGAAGAATTGTCTTCATTTCAGCTTCCATGCTTTAGGACATGTTCCCATCCTCTATTATAAAGGTCCAACCTTGGAGCATTATTATTTTATCCCCACCTACTTCCTTGATATTTCTCAATGCTATGGCAGCAGTGATAGCAAACAATACTTTGTCTACCCTTATTTAGAGTTCCAGCCTTTTTATTGTGGAACTCGCTGTTGTGGTCTAAATCTTCATTTTTCAAATGGATGTTTATTTTGGTGGATTATTACAAAGCACATGCTTCATCGGGGACAACACCTGAAGACWGCTGGGAGACTTAAACTGAAGCACCATGTGGCAACGTGCTTGCTCACCAGTGCTTCAAAGGGATCATATAGTGYGTCACAGTCTTTTCTTTCTCTGCACGTCAGGATGCAAATCAAGATGGTGGTCTTATCTCTCCAGAATTGTGAATGGATCGGCCTTTGCTGGTTGAACAGCAGACTCTTTCTTGATGTAGTAAAATAAAGTTGATCATCTCAGATATTAGCTGTGAAGGCATTATGGAATAGAGTCATAGAATATCYTGATTTGGGACACACAAGGATCATCAAGTSCAACCCCTAAGGGGTTGAAGGAAGTACTGCCTCTTTCCTAACACCAGTGTCTCTGAAATTAGGCTGTGCAACAGATCAAATCAGTTTCTTTTGAGGGAAGTTGAAGGAGAGGAGGAACGGATGCATATTTGTGAATGATAACTAGTGRTTACAGAACTTGTCTTTGCTGATGCAGGAAAATGCTTCATTGGCAACATAACTATCACTTTTCTAAGTGTCTTCCTATAAGCATGTTATGTCTCCACATATTTCTGTTAAAGTAAGCCACAAGACCTTTTTTTTCATTTGCAAAATGATTCTGTGTCTTTGAGCTAGATTCATTCCAGAATTGATCAAAACTAATGGCTGGGAGAATTCTGATTGTGCTGACACATTGTATGCATAGGTTTTACTGTGTTAACTACCTCAGGACATGTGTTAACTACCTCAGGACATCAGAGTGCTTTGAGTGAGTTAGTTGTGGTAGTTGGCATTATTTTACTGGCACATAGCAAGCAGACTGGTTTTAAAGTTACCACAAAGTGGTGTAAAAGGTGTGTGATAACTGCCTGGCCATAAACCAGGAAATTAAGCAGGATAAGGTAGGAAAGTAAGCCTTATGGCTTCTGTAAAGTGACAATTAAAATAATTGCATTGAAAATGTAGCAATACTGCCTTTATACTGTTTTTCAGCCTGTGAAATAATTTTAAGATTTTGTCTTCTTGCCTGGTTCTCATAAATTTCTCAAGTTCTTAGCCCTAGAGGAGTAAACATTTACGTTGTTGTATTGAGTTAATGTGATGCTAGGATTTGGAGTTTTTTGCTCTGTCTCAGTCCAAATTCTGGCTTTCCCAGCAATAAGGATGCATAATACTCAAGAATCTGGTGTTGCTGCAGTGTSCTCTGTCTAGAAAGGCTCTGTGGCCATACATGATCATTCACATACTCTCATTTTTAAGCTTAAATGAATATTTTGGAAGGACCAACAGAACTTCATAGGTATCAAAGCAGGTTTTATCCATGCTTTACCAGCTGAAGGATTCTCCCTAGACACATCAAGGTTGGAGACTGATGTCTGCATTGTCCTTGCTAAYACTCAGGCAGTTGCATTGTTCTGGGTTACCTCCAGGAGTTTTGCTCTGGCCATTTTTGCAAACAGTGTTCTTCTCGTGTGGATACTAAGATATATTGTGCATTTTCAGGAAGTAGTTTTGGAGGGGAGAAAATGTGACTCTATTTCTAATACCTCATTTCAGGAAGACAGCATGTATTATGAAGTCCTGTGCATTCTCTTCATGTAGCATATAAAGACCTATATGTCTGTTGCATATGTTTGTGTCCTACAGGATAAATACCTATTTTAACCTRTGTGTCTTGGGGAAATAAAAAATAAAGTTTAATCTGCTCAACAGTAAAAGCCCAGTATGTTGAGTACTATCATGACATAACAAACGAGAGCCTGTGGAGCAGATGGGGCAGCCCACATACCAGTTTGTTTTGTGGATTCTGCAAACTTGAGCAGGTATAGCTGTCAGCCTCATGCTTTGAAGGTTCTCCTGATAACAGGTAGGCTCTTCTTTTGTGATAGGGCAGGATTGAAGGAGTTCAGACCTCTGCTTGTAATGGTATTCCTCACTCATTCGTTAAGCTTTTTGCATCCACCAGAACAAAGTATGGGATCAAGCGTGTTTGTTTGCCTCTCTCGTGTTTGTTTGCCTCTCTCCTCATTGCGTAAGTGTACAAGTACAGTGATTCCTCTTAGGTATGAAGAATGGATTCTCCAGAAGCAATAAATCTATTTGAATTCCTTTGCTGGCGGTATCCTCACTTCACCTGTGTTGTCAATACTCCGTGTTTAAATACAAATGCTCTTGGAAAGGCCTGTGAAATTGAAGGATTTTTTTTAGTGCTTTCAGAGCTCTTTATGTGTGCTCAAGTGCTTTGACCAGCCTCTGAGCCAGGTTTTAAGTTCTTTGTGCTCCTCCTTCTGTCTCCTCAGGACCTCACAATTCCAGAGTCAAGTACRGTGAAGAGAGTGATGACTGGAACAGTGGCTGGATTTAAATGGCCACCGAGTGTGAATGAGGTGAGAAACTTTACAACATCTAGGATCTGAGTTTGTGGCAGTAAATCTAGAGCCTTTTGTCTGGTTGTAGAACAGTGAGATATTACCTTCTTTCGTCAGAACATACTGGAGCATAATAAAGCTGAACAATATCCCAGACAGTTCAGAAATATGCTGGGAAGTGAGATTTCTGCCTCTGTGGAACCATTTTCAAACTCACACTTAACTTGCTGTACTAATTTTTACMCTTCTTGTTTCAAAAACATTTCCGGGACTGACTTCCCAAAACTGGAAGTGATGTAGATAGTCTCTCCCTGTCTGAATACTATCACATGGAGTGGTTTCATTTGATTTCCTTCACAAGCAGCTTTTGAAAACCTTTCGATTTTGTTGAATAAATGAGTGATCAGTAAAGCAGATAAGAGCAGTATGATTCCAGACTAGTGTGTGTGATGGTCACTGGGGAGATAAGATCCCTGGGCCTGCAGTCCTTGTTGCTGTTAGGATGGGTTTGCCTGGCATGTGGCAATCTCCAGCCAATTCCCAGAATGCTGTTTTAAGGAGTTCCTTCGAAGCTGGAAACTAAGTGTTTTCATTTGCTAGGGAGAGGAAGCAGAATATGAATTTTCCTCCTTCCATGTTAATCTTKCTCATATACTTCTTTGGTTTTCGTACAGATGTCCAAAAATGAGAAATTGGTTTTGAATGGCTTTGGTCTTGAGAATGAATCATGATGTAAACTGCTTAATTGAAACAAGCTGCTTTTGACAGCTATTTTCCCGCTTATGCTATTGTTCTCATGCAGCTTAGGAGAGCAAGGGAATTGTTCTGTGCTTGCTCAGTGACTCTCTGGAAATGTTTCTGAGGCTGTACTTTCTCTTTTTTGTAGCCTGTGAAAGACAGTGATCCACACTTTCATCACTTCCTGCTGAGCCAGACAGAGAAGGTAAGGATTTGACAGACAGGATCATGCTGCTGAGTAGCTTGGAGTCCTGCCCTTTGCTGCAACTGCATACAAGGAGTATGCAAAAAAGAGCTCCAGAATTCTCTTCTTTGGGGGCTGGCAATTAGATTAGTTTAATTACTTCCTAGCCTTAAGATTTAGCATGATTTAGCATTAAGTATAGTGAATAGTTTTAAGCAATTAAAGATTATATAGCACTAGTTTTTTGCAGATCTGGTGTAATAAATTGTGTAGAATGAACATTGATGGACATGAAAAGTTTTTTTTGCGTTCAGAAATCCTCTTGTTTGTTTTTGGTGGTTGTCCGTCCAGTTTCTTCAACTAGATAGGCTTGCCAATTCACTGAATGTTGCAGGAAAACTTCCAGGACCAGAAAAGCTCATTGTAAAATACAGACAGTTTATCTCCTGAGAGTCAGAAGCCTTGCAGGATTTTATATTCAGCAGTGAACATCAGGAGGAAAAGGAAAGATTGAATTAAACATAGAAGAATTTATATCTTGCTGAGGATCTGGTCAGAGCCAGAAGGATTAAGAGTTGCTAACAGTTTTATCTAGACAAGCTCACAGTAAGCAGCATGGGGAGGAACAGCCTTTGCCTTAGCATCTGTAGAAAGCCACTTGCCTTCTCATATTAGCCAGAAGGTTTTGGTTCCRCATATGCAGAGACATAGTGAGCATAGGTGTGAGGCTTCATGGCAGGCTTCAGAGAGCTAAGTGTAGGAGTAGGAGTGGGTTCTGGTGCCTGCAGTGGTGCCTGTCGTAGGAGCTGCAGAAGGGAGTTTGCAGTGCTTCTGTTGGAAGACTGGCTGAATTGCTGGGACAGGGTGGGAAAGAACGATCTTAGTATCTTGCAGTATGTTTTTGGTTTTATTGTCTCCCCTTGAGGGAAGCCCCAGARTTGTCCCACTTTGAAGGTGGTGGTGGGTGGGTGATCTGCCTGTTTCTGTGGAACAAGGATATGGTCTATTTGCTCAGCAGAGTAARTCAGCTGTCCTTCCCCTGAGTACTTTGTCTTCTTCATACAGCCAGCTGTCTGCTATCAAGCCATCACAAAGAAGCTGAAGGTTTGTGAAGAGGTAAAGCAAATCTTGGTTTTGATGGATTTTTATTGTCATGAGGCCTTGCAGTTCTTCCAGAGCTGTGCATGATATTGTTTTTATTGTTATTTCCCCCCCCCTTCTCTTCCCTCCTCCCACCCCACTCCCTCAGGAGACAGGATCCACCTCCATCCAGGCAGCAGACAGCACAGCAGTCAATGGCAGCATCACTCCTACAGATAAAAAGTAAGATCTCCAACACACTTCAGCTATTTCCCTTTTTCTCCTTTCCAGCTTGGACATGCAGCCACTCTCCAGCCTGTTACTGAGAATTAATAAACCTAACATTTCCCTTCAACTGCACATTTCTTCTGTCCTTGTGTGAAACTGTTCTAGGGCAAGGTGGGAGGGAGGCAGCTAAAAATAAAGTGGGATGTACAATCAAAAATTCAGAGTAAGCTCTGTCTTGGATTCATCTTCAGTTTGGGGTGTTTTTGCAGTTGTCCTTTTCAGTAGATCCCACTGCAGGATGTTAGCAGCGGTGTTCCTCAGTCTTGCATGAGGTAGGAAGATAGAAGGGGATCTGTTTCTGGTAGTGCCTGGCGGTTGACTGGGATTGTTTAATGTCTCTCCTGAGCATGCAGAAGACAAGAAGAGGGAGGTGTGTTCTCCCATCACAAGGACTTCGCTATGTAGCACATGAGCTTTCTGGTTTCTCCTAACACATCTCTTCTCCTTTCTAGAGTGAGAGAAACCTAACTTGAGCTTCCTGTTTCACTCTGTAGCTTCTTCTCTGTTCAAATTGAGTTCAGGCCACTCTTGCTGTTTGTTGGGGCAGTTCTCATGGGATGTCAGTTCTCACCTGTACTTCAGGGGAACGAAAATAACAATGAAACTGTTCAGGTAAAAGTCTCTCAGGAAAGTGAGTCTCAGAGGTGGGTTGGGAAGGAAGGAGTATATCTGCTGTTTCAGAGACTTGAAAATAGGTAGACCTTATTTGGGCCATGGAAAGAGCCTGGTAATGATATGCTCTGCCCTGTCTAAATTAGTTTGCTTGAAGAAAAGGCAGCCTGGGTAGCTGGGAGAGAAAATGTGGCTTGTGAAGGCCACAGTGCAGCTGTAATGTGGCTAAATCAGCAGAGTTAACTGGGGAATTGCCAGGTGGATTTGGCTGTGAAGTTACATTAGATCTAACCGAATGCTTCAGAATCTCTCTGAAAACTGGGTTTTGTGGGAAGCTGCATGATGAATAAGAGTCCTTGCAGCGATATCGGCAAAGAAATTCCTGTTGCCGATGATTGTAGGGATTTGTTAGCATATTGTCTTAGTTTTTAATGGAGGGAGCAGGGGGGCTTGCAGGGGGAGGGGAAGGCTGTTTTCTGGAGCTGATGGTGACCTGTACTGGCCTAATTACTTCCTTTCTTCCTGTGCYTGAAATGGCAGTGGTAGAGGAGGGACTAGGTCTTTGATCTGGCCAGATGCTTAGCACAGCAGTCTTTGCTGGACTTTATTAAAATAAAGATGGTAATGTATCATTCAATTATACAAGCAGGCATTGGATTTGTGCCTTAGTTTTAAAATCAAAATATTATTAGAGAAACGCCTGCTCATTTCTAAATTTTTCTTTTTACTTAATGAACTCAATGACTGGCAACAGAAAGCACATAAACAGCAATTTTAGTAAACAAAAAACCACACACAAACTGCCCCAAACAAACAAAAAGAGCCCAGACCATCCATACCTTTCATATTTAGGTGATCTTCTAAAGTAGGCTAAAGACTTTGTTCATGGAATTGTTAGGGATGCTTCGTAAGCAAAATATATTCAGCTTGCTTTTAAAGCTCAATATTTCCCCACTGTAGCTGTTGCTGCAGTGGAACAAGTTTGGGTATTTTTTTTGCYGGTGATGCTCGAATTTGCTTTTTATTATTTCCAACACCACGAGAAACTGACACTGATTGCTTTCTCTTGGATTGTTTATCTGTACCCTCAGGATAGGATTTCTGGGCCTTGGTCTGATGGGAAGTGGCATTGTCTCCAACTTGCTGAAGATGGGTCATACTGTCACCGTCTGGAACCGGACTGCTGAGAAGGTAGGCATGTGCTTAAACCTTTCCTAAACATGCAGTTATCCCCTCTATCTCATGGAATCATCTGTCAGTGGTGCTTGGGAGAGGATACCAAAGACACACAAGAATACTCTTGCCACCTTRTTCTGTCCTGTTTCCTAGTTGCCTGTTGGTGGGCATGTGTGACTAGGTACAGCTGTGGTCTGTTCTAGTGTGGTCACTCTAGGTCACCAACCCCACCCCATGGCCTTTTTGCATGAGAGAGTTGACAGAAAAATTGTATATATGTGTGTTGAAGAATGCRATTGTAATGTGCCTCTGAAAATATTGCTGATATCAGCAGTGTCCATGAATATCTATGGCAGTGTGTCATGCATCTGGCCAAAAAGGCCMGGTGTAGGGAGTTATCCCAGGAGATTGAAGTGTGGTAAGATGCACTGCTCAGCCACAGGTTAGTCTACATCTTTTGTGCTAGTCATGTTGTGGTAACAAGGGTTCTGTCAAAGACCTGCTGTGTCATGAGACCAGGATGGAGAATGGCTTCATAGGGATATTCAAAGTGAAAGTAGAGCTTATGTTGCATTGCACTTACATACTAGACCATGTTATTCTTTCTAGTGGAAAAGTAGGTAGCTGGGGGGAGATGGTGCTTGTATGATGCTGTGGAATATCAAAGCAGGAAGGGTGCTGTGGTTACTTTGTTAAAGGGGATTAAAAGATTTATTTTTTCAAGTGCAAAACATGGCTGGTATGAGGGGATAGGGTAAGAAAGAGCTAAGGTTTTGAAGCAGCAGCCCACTGAAGCACATCAGTCTCAATTGTGCGTATTCCTGTTTACTGTCTAGTAACACATTTTGCTATGTCCTTTTACTAATTTTTTTCCTAAATCTCCTTTTTTTCCCTAATATTCTCTTGTCAAACCCACAACATTCTTATTGTTTCATCTAAGAGTTTTATTTCTTTTATGTAGTTCTTTCAAAGTTCTTCACTTGTTCTGCTGCAAAAGGGCCCTGTGTGTGTGTGTGTGTGTGTGTGTGTGTGTGTGTGTGTGTGTACATGTGGATAAAGGAACAGAAGATGAAGTTGCTGTTTAATTAACATGCCTGACTCCTTTGGAGTTCTGTCCAACAGTGGAGTTTTGCTGGAGTTTTTACAGCAAAATGCAGAGAATCCATTTGCTCTGTATTTAATTTTTCTTACCTTTGGACTTGTGCCTTTTGCAGTGTGATTTGTTCATCCAGGAGGGTGCACGGCTGGGAAGAACCCCTGCTGAAGTAGTCTCCACCTGTGACATCACCTTTGCCTGTGTATCAGATCCAAAAGCYGCAAAGGATGTAAGGATTAGCTCTTATTTTACTTCCACTGGTTAGACTACAAGGTGGCAGTCACTGAATGCCAGTTCTCATTCCTGCTAACTACAGTAGCCTGGGTCATTGCAGATCCTGAGCAGTGCAGCTATGTAAAAATGAATGTTCCAACAWAAATCACGCATTCTGAAAACTAAGCCTTTGAGAGCAGGATCTGATAACCCTCTGGGGGTCTGCCACTGCAGTGCCAGACTCAGCTGGATTCCTGCAGAACTGGGGTTTCTCTGCAGACACCCTATTGCTTTACCGCTCTTCTGTTCTCCACAGCTGGTGCTTGGTCCAAGTGGAGTGTTGCAAGGGATTCGCCCAGGGAAGTGTTATGTGGATATGTCCACTGTGGATGCAGATACAGTCACAGAGCTGGCCCAGGTAATCATTGAATTGAGCCTCTTAACAGCTGATTCAGCAGCAGTTCTGCAGTTTGTRTTGCTTCAGGTGCTTTATTACTTCTTGGTAATAAAACTGCTTCTAGAGATCTTTGGGCTTCTTTTGGGAGAGTCTCAAGTTCCAGGCAAACAAGATAAAACATGTCAAATCTTGACCAGTGAATAGTGTTGGATGAGATGTTCCCTGTTGATACCAGCAAAGTCTGTAGATTTGGCAGAGCTGTTACCTTGCACAAGTRCAAGCAGTCAAATTTTGATCCCTTAGAAGTATTTGTATACAGGTATTCTGTAGCAAACTGGAGGGTTAAACTCTCTGGTTTAATAACTGATAAAATGCATCTGCCTAGTTTAAATGCTCGGGTTGGGGAAAGGGAATGTCTTCACATTTCATTCTGTAGAAATATTATTATAGGATTTCTGTAGAAGTGTTCTGGTTACTTCTGTTGTGGTATCTGTAGTTTCTTTTTGGCRTTTTGATTGTTCCCCACTGACCTAAGGCAGTGTATGTGGCTGCACGAGGAAGGGGAGATGGTAAAGTTTTAAGCAGACATGTTGACACAGTAGTGTGTAACATCAATTTGGGGAATGCAGATGACAGATGTTAGTAAACCTCTGACTGAAGAGATCTGTCAAAGGCCTTTCCTGTCTGGGAAARAGGGGTAAAATTTAATGATCAGTCTTCTGGGATTCCCATGCCACATACACACTTGTAGCACTGATCCCTTGGCTAGTACAGGGTACCATGACTAAAGCATGTCAGTTAGCTGCTTAAAACATACACAGTAGTTATGGGTACAGGAGGGTCTTGCTGCAGTGTGAAGTCAACTTTTGGTCTTAAGCACCCTTTGCAGGATATGGTGTGATACATCATGTGCTAATGCTTTCCTCTCCTGTTTATATGTTGGAGCTATTTGTTCTGCGTTAAATTTCTGTCCTCAGGRGCAGGAATGCCGTGTAATATGTTCCTGTATGATGTTCAGCACAGTTGACCAAATATGCTCTTTTTCCCAGGTGATAGTGTCCCGAGGTGGTCGCTTTCTGGAAGCACCAGTGTCAGGAAACCAGCAGCTCTCAAATGATGGAATGCTTGTGATCCTGGCAGCTGGCGACAGGGGTTTATATGAGGACTGCAGCAGCTGTTTCCAGGCCATGGGGAAGACCTCTTTTTTCCTAGGTAATTGAAACATGATGGGCCTGACAGCAGTTTCTTAGTGCAAGGACTGGGAATTTCAGCAAGGAGTTTGAGATGTATATGTCATCTTTTTCTTTTTTTTTTTTTTTTTTTTTTTTGGACAGCATGGGAAATTGGCCTGCTCCTCTGGAACTTGAGCAGTTTCAGAGCCTGCAAGCTAGGTTTCATTTTTGAATACTGGCTCATTCTGGAGGATCTGTGATGCTTTTGGTTTTAAATCATATTTTCTTATCCATTGCTTTGAGTGCTTGGAAAATGGGCATATTTTCTGAAGTCTTTCAGGGGAAGGGAGAGCAGCCAAGTGCTTGATGCCAGGAGTCTAGCAGTGTTACTGCTGTGTGGGCTGGGAGGCAGGTCTGCTGTTTCTCTTCTGGAGGAATCCCAATGGTGTGTCTTCCTCCCAGGTGAAGTAGGCAATGCTGCCAAGATGATGCTGATTGTGAACATGGTCCAAGGCAGCTTCATGGCAACAATAGCAGAAGGACTGACTTTGGCTCAAGTTACTGGCCAGTCCCAGCAGACCCTTCTGGATATCCTCAATCAGGGACAACTTGCCAGCATCTTCCTGGACCAGAAGTGCCAAAGTAAAGTTCTCTTACATTGTTTTCTTACAAGGCTTTTTTTTACAGTCTAGCAGCTTTTCAGATAGTGGCAAAAAGTAGAAAATTACAGTCCCATCTTCATCAGCCTGGGATTATGATTGTTTTAAGCATTCTGGAAATGAAGAGCTGAGTTCCATTCTTTCCCCTTCATAGCCAGGAGTTCTGAGAATCTGAGTTAGGACTGCTTAGGGTTTGAATTAGGATTTCATTGTGGCAGGGTGATAAGTGAAATGGAGAGCAAGCTGCTTCGAAATCTGAGCTCACTTTGTCAGTGGGCAGTATTGACATCATCTGCTGTGGCCAGATGAAGATAGCAGAGAAACAGGAGAGCTAAAAGTAGTGATCAGCAGTGGAAAGGGAGATTGGTGTTGAGTTGCAGCCACTTGCAGTGTGGGATTTGCTTACTTTTGTCATGCTTACTTTTTTCATGGGTTCCTCTCAACAGATATCTTGCAAGGAAACTTTAAACCTGATTTCTACCTGAAATACATACAGAAGGATCTTAGATTAGCTATTGCACTGGGTGATTCTGTCAACCATCCAACTCCTATGGCAGCTGCTGCCAACGAGGTAAGAATTATTCAGTGTTCAGTTGTGTTATTCAACATTCATTCAACAGAGCCATGTGTCGACAAGAGACACAGATCGAAGAATTACATCATCTAAGACAAAGGAACAGTGATTGAAATATATTTTGACTATGGTGGCATTGGATTTGTTTTGATTGTAGAAACCCTTACAATGTTACATCGTGAAACACAGAAGAACCTGGCAATTTCTGATCTGCACTTGGCTTATTTGACATACTGTGCAGTTTTCTGGTTGTAGTGGTCAACAAAGGAATTTTTCTGCTAGGAAAAGGCTTCACACAATAGCAGACTCTGATCCTTCTCTGACTTCTCTTCCCTAGGTCTATAAACGAGCGAAAGCGTTGGACCAATCTGACAACGACATGTCCGCAGTGTACAGGGCCTACATCCATTAGGCTGCATCCTTCTTACTGTTCATATGATGATTATTGATTAATATTATTATGATACTGGGTTTTAACTCTGGACCAGTCCATCTCTGTCTTTCCATTTCCTTTTATACACAGACTTTGAGACTTGCCAGGGAGGCAGCTGCTGTGGTGAGCCTTCTACTGTGGCAGGAGGGGGGAGGAGGGGGCTTGGATTGTTGCAGTCTAATTAGAAAAATCCATGCCACGCACTGACAGTCATGGGATGGAACAGCGGCGATTGTTCAGAAGCTCTGAGGCAACTCTGCCAGAAATTTGCTGCTTGGCTACTTTCATTTTCCTCTTTGTTTGCTAGTCCAAGATGCTGTTTTTAACAATCCCTTTTCTCCTTTGCTGTGAAATAATGCGAGTGTTGGACTGTCTGCATCAAGGGTACAGGGTGACATGCATCCCATCTACCTGTGAATATCACTTGAGTCCTTGGTCCAAGTAAGGTGAGGAGYATTCCTGCTGATTAGCCACTGTTAGAGAACAGAGCACCTCCCATGGAGGAGAAGGGCAGTTCCAGAGGGTAAGGGYGTTTGCGTGCAATGATGTCTTGATTCTGTTTCTTTTTAAACTTCCACCTCCCCAGCATCTTGATGGAGGAATTCCTGTACTGTTAAAGGCAACACATTGCATCCATGTCTTCCCCTGTACAGACAGCTATAGTTTAGGGAACACAAACTGTATTGAAAAYAGGAGAATGCCAGTGTCTATGAGGCTCCTAAAAGGCTTATCATAGCCCATCCAAAACATMATTGGAAAGCAACACGTTTGCATAGAAAACTGCAGGAGAAACATAGAGCCTAAAACTGGGCTAGAGGTTTTACTTGCTTCTGGCCTTAGCTTATGTTATGTTACTACTTGCATTTTTTTTAACCTTGTAGTCAATAATTACTAAGGTATCTTGGATTATGGCAGTGTCACAAGCAGAATGGTGAGTCTGAAAGAGAAGAATGATCCAAGAGATTGAGAATCCTGAGCTCCTTTCCACATTCTCTGGCCTTTGCATGGTTGTCACATCTCTCAGCCTCTTTGCCCATCTATAAAGGTGGGTGATGATTACCTACCTCACAGGGATACTTTTATGTACTGACTAGTGATCTTTATACATGTTAAATTTTCCATACATGTTCTTAGTGTTACTACTTTGGGTAAAAGCTAGCACAGCATGAGCCTTCTCCCTGTGTCTGTGACTCTGCTTGTGGCCAGATACCAGCTTCTGGAAAGACCAGTAACTGAAATTGGGGAGGCTAAGACCACTGCTATGCTTTGATCTAGAGRTGAGCAACATGAACTGCAGATGCCAAGGCCAGAGGTCAGAGATGCTTGCAGTGTTGATAGCAGAGCAACCAGAGTCCAAAGGATGCCTGTCACAAAAAATACGCCGAATGTGGCTTCATTTTTGGTTTGGGGTTTTTTTTTCAATTCCCAGTATTAACCTTTTTGTTCTTGCATTTTAAATTTGAGTGTTAGAAAAATGCCAGTGAGAAACTTCGGCCAAAATCACTTGTCARTGATACAATCTCCTTCCTCCTTTGGGCTGGGATTCTGAAAGGAAAGAAGACAGATTCAAATGAGTCCATGTTCCTGAGATCTGCCCCTGCCACCTTATTTGTTTTCTAAGAATTCAATGGCTGTGTAAGGAAATTTCCCCTGGGTTAGGATTTCGTACCAATCCTGCTTTGTGCAGCATATGGGTATGGTTCAGGGGCACCTTCTTAAGAAACAGTGTGTCAGATACTGTGTAAATGTTACTTTGAGTATTTCACCTTCTGTGATGACTGTTCGTAGTGGGCTAATGGTGTATTCTGCATTACTTATGTCCTGTAGTGAGCACCTGGCAACAGAGCTGTCAGGCCAACAGGCCAACAACTGCCTGTTGGCCACTGTGTGTGGGCAATGGTAATTCTACACCCATGTTCCTTTGGTAATGCCACTGCCATCCTGCATGTAGATATTCACATTAAATGCAGCTAAAATTGCCAGGATAGCTAGCCATTGACCTGCTTTGGCGCACTGTTCTTTCTCACCCACAACTCCACTGCTAGCATCTGAAGTCCTTTGTTAAACATGTCACAGTAAAAAAAAAAATCACATGAATTATGCATTGAGGGCATCTGAGGGAAGTTGTGGGTTTGGGAGTAGGAGATGAGACCCCMGGAAAAAATATTTTGGGCAGAAGAAGAAGGTACTGTCCCATRTGCTACTGAGAGTGAACTGCACTGAGCCAGTTCAGTGGTGTCCCCCACCTGTCCCTGCCCTCTTAGGCCAGAGTGAAGGTGAATGGGTGTGAGCGAAGGTAATGGAGAATCTCCCTTTGTTAGTTTGTGGTGCTTCSATACAGTGAGAATGCCAAAGGAGCTCTTAAGTCCTGTGACAGATACTTCATAGTGAATTCAAAGAATCAGTCCCTAGGCAGCTCACTGCTGCAGGGTTTGTTTCTAGAAATATAGTCGTTCCCAGAATGGAGGTGATTGTTTCTGTGGGAGTAGCAGATGTGGACTAGTTCAACACTGTAATTTATCCCGTGATGGTCTGACTGCAGCTTTAAGCCAATGTGGGTGGCTGTAGAGTGGCTGCAGTGCTGCTGGTACAGTCACAGTTGTGCCCAGGAGGAGCAGGAGGAGACCAAGTGCTTTGATGTGGCTGTGAAGAGGAGGGATGGAAATGGGGGAATCCAGACTGTTGCAGATGCCAGTTGAGRTTGTTATCCGTCTCACTCAGATTCTTTTATTTATGTCTGTAGCCTCTGAACATGCATTTCAGTCTCTTCCTAGGCCTGAGCTCTGGGGGGAGGGAAGTGGGGAACCAGTGGATTGAGAGATGCTGTAATAAAACTGGCTAGTCAATGTTGTCCTAATACTGTTGACAATTCTGTAAAGTTTCTTTTTATGAGGACTTGTTTTAGCAATTTGCTTTTTTTTTGATTCCCTCCTTTTTAAAGAGAAAATGTGACACTTGTGAAAAGCTTGTAGGAGAAGCGGTTTCCTTTTTCCTCAATGATAGATCCTGTAGTTCATTAAGGTTGTGAGTTTTTATTTTCCTGCCTTGTTTTTAATTAACATTTGTCATTCAGAATAGGATGTGTGAAAATGTTTAAATTACAAAGATTTTTTTTGTGCAATTAACAAAGCTACTGGCAAAAAGAATAAAATCTTTCTTGGTAACACAGTGTTCTTGTGGCATTTTCTAAAACTGTCAGAGCTGTCTTGGGGCATTGAGGAAATATATGTTCTTCAGAACATTAGAAACTCAGAGCTGCTGAAAATCAAATAATCCTGAGAGCACTTCCATCATTGCTGAAGCAGAGAACTGTCAGTGAGGCATTACAGAGGATGAGTTCGGATAAATTCCAGGCTCTGTGTGCAGAGGGTTGCATGTATGTGGGATGAGAGGAGGATGGTTGTTTTGCATGTTCCGGTGGTGATTTCGTTTTTAGTTTTGGGCTGGGGTAGCCATCCTTCTGGTATTTGGGATTTTTTGAGTGCTAAGTCTTATGAGCAGCCTGGAAAATTCGTGCCCATGGCAGGAGGGTGGAATGAAATGAGCATTACCTCTCAAACACCCCCCCTCCCTCCATGATTCTGTGAACACTTAACTCAGCAGTGAGTTGGGTATTCTAAGAGATGAAATGTTTACAAGCTATGGAATACCTCTTGTGGATAATCTTACAGCAGTAGCTGGTTTTGCCCTGAGGCACGAGGATGAGATGAAGTGTTGATGACAGTGGGTTTCAGGTGCAGTGAGTTACAGGTGCCCGAGAAAGCACTCCTTTTGAGCACTGTCATTAAAGGCAGCAGATAGAAAGTCGAGAGCTATCCTTGCAGCAGGAACTGGTGCTGTTGGAAGCCTTCCCTGCCCTGGGCATGAAGGATCATTCCCATCTCCCAYCCCCCAGGGGGCTGGTGTGGTGAAGGTGCTATGCCTGCACGKCTTGCTCGCAGTACAGCTGCTATGAAAAAGAACCCACTTCTGTGCAAAGGATAAATACTTCACTGCCAGGATAAGTACTTATTTTGAGAAGTGATGTGATGAGATTTGCACGTCTTCACTCATTTCTGAGTATTCTTACACGCAGCTCGRCTTAATCCTCGCCCAGCTGCGCTCGACTGGGGAGGCAGCTCGCACCCWCCCTGCAGCACCAACAGGCTGGACGGATGTGCGCCCAGCCCCAGGCCAGGGCTCCAGCCCCGCCCCATCTGACGTGTCCCGGGGCTCCGCCCCCGCGCTGCTCGGTGCCGGTGCTGCAGCTGGGCCGTGCGCCTGCGGTGTCGGGGGTGGGGCCGGCAGTGGCGGGATGGCGGCGGCCATGGCGAGCTCGGGGGAAAGGGCAGTGCTGGTGAGTCTGGCGGGCGAGCGGTAGCGACCTGTTGCTAGGGCAGCAGCAACCTCTCCCCGCGCATGACAGCACTGCCGCTCCCCCGCAGGCTCCTTCTGTCTGCTCGGGCTCGGACGGGGAGCTGCGGGATGGCGGCAAGGCCGTCCTCTGCTCCCGCTCCCGGTCTGGGCCGAGCGCTGTGCGGGGGCAGCCCGGACCCGGTCGTAGAGCACCCGCCCTGACCGCAGGCGCTGCCCAGGTTCTGGCCGTGCGGTCGGCCCAGGCTTTCGGGCCGGCGTCCGTGCCCCGTCGCTGCTTGGCTCGGAGGCCGCGGCCTCCTACCGCCTCATCCACCGGAGAACCCGGGTCTCTCTGCCAGCGGTGCCGCTCCTCGGGTGGGCCTGGTCGGGTGGCGAGGCCGGAACCCCCCTGCTCCCGGCAMGGTGTGCGTGTGCCCTGTGACCTTGGTGTCCCGCTGACCGGCCCCGCACATGGCGGGTGCCCGAGCCGCCCCAGTGACCTGGTAGCAGCGGGGACAGCACAGAGCAGTCACCACTGCGTTTCCCGGGACAGGAACTCCGAGGAGGAGTGAAATCTCCGGTCTGGAGAAGGGGTTCAGAGATCCATCGGTCTGGGTGGAAAGCCACATAGGAAAACARGTTTTTCAAATGTTCATATGGTTTAGAAGGGTATGAACAGCATTCCCCAAAAATACAAGTGTGTAGTGCACAGATATGCATGAACTRGACTTAGTCCAAAATTATTAGGTCGGGGAAGTGAGCTTTATTGCTGTGACAAGAGGGAAGAAAGACTCCAGTGGGGATTTTGAGTAGAAAAAATTGCATGGTGCTGGAGGTGCTAAAAATATCTGCTGCACCCATTTCTCTTTTGGGAAACCTGGAGGAGGGCAAACATAACAGTGAAAGAGCACCAGATCCATCTTCTCTTGGGTGATCAGTGACAGCACTTGTGGGAATAGCATGGAGCTCTGTCAGGGGAGGTTTAGTCTGGATATTAGGAAAAATTTCTTCACCCAGAGGGTGGTCAGGCACTGGAATAGTCTCCCCAGGGCAGCGGTCACAGCACCAAGCCTGACARAGTTCAAGGAGTATTTTGATGACACTCAAGCACATGGTATAGAATTCTTGGGGCTGTTCTATGCAGAGCCCATACTTAGACTTGATGATCCTTGTGGGTCCCTTCCAGTTAAGGACATTCTATGATCAGTGTAATTCCCAGAAACCCAAAACAGGATTAAAGGGTTGAGGTCAGTGTACTGCACCCAAACTGMTTTGAAGGATAACAGGGAATCTTGACTGCCTTTGTTGTGTGTGCCTGCCTTAGATGAATGTTTGCTGAAACAAACCCAACTTTGTGCGAGTTGTTGCGATAAGTCTTGCATAAGGTGATGACACATCAGTTAGGGGTTGTGTTCCTGTGAACAGGAATCATGTAGCAGAGAAACCACAAGCTTAGAGTTCTGAATTGACCATGCCTTGCCTATTTTTCTGTGGGCAACCTGCTCAGAACTCTCCACACGGAAATTTTTCTTACAAGATGGCAAGTGGCAATCTTACTTTGTCCCATGCTTCTGTTTCCCACTTCTCTCATGATCTGCATGGGGTCTCATGGTTTAACAAGAACCCTAGCTATGCTTTGATGGTGTCCTTTGTACAGGCTTCTCTGTGGCAGCAACTGATGGYGTGAGTCATCAGACTCAAACTTGTTCATTACTGAATTTGCCCCAGTGATTGGGAGTTCCCAGCCTGTGKCCATCCCATCCTCCCCCCACTTTTCAGTTTTAACTTGTTTTGTTTTTAGACAGCTGTTTTCTTGGGGAAATGCTGGGGGTGGGGGGAGGAGGGGCAAGGGATACTCATTTTAGTGTTTATCTTTGTTTCTCACCACCTAATTAGCAACAAATTTGTCTGCAAGTTGATTCCAYTTTGCCTGTGCCAGGAATTGGTAATGGATCTCCCTAGCTTTACTTTGGCCCATGATCTTATTTTCTCCACTGACCTATTGAGAAAGGAGCAGTGAGGGAGGCTTGGTAGGTGTCTGGCAACCAGGTCAGTCAATCCCAACAGCTTAAAAAGATGTCCCAGTTTTTGAAGCAGCAGAATTTTTACTTTGCTCTGAAATTTGCATCCAGTTCTAGGGTTTTGGTACACTGATTTGTGTGAAGGTTGCTTTCTTAAGTCAGAGCAAGAATGAGGACAGTTCATTGGACTAGGGTGTAAAAGTGGAGATGTGGAGACTCAGGTGTTTCAACAAATCAGGAAGAAATCTTTTTCTTCTCCTTAATTTAAACAGCATGGAAACAGTAGCACATTTAGAACTTAAATAATTTTTGCATGTGTCTGAGAGATTTACTTCCAGCATTTGACATCTAATGATTCCAATGCTATCTTCCCACAACACAGGAAGAAGAATTTAAATGGCTTTTACAAGAAGAGGTCCATGCTGTTTTGAGACAGCTGCAAGATATTTTGAGGGTGAGGTTAACTTTGTCTGGTTTTTATGTTGTGGCTTTGTTTGACCTTCTGTGTAAGGAATGGTGATAGGTTTCCCCTGCAGGAAAAAAATTCTTGGTACAAGCTGCACAGAAAAGKCTATCATGCATGTCAGTTCTGTCCCTCGTGCTTCCTTGCCCTCTGCTCTTGAGGACTCCCAGTAAAGCTGATTTCCCCAAGATTGCRCTGTCCTTGACCTTTAGAGAGCTGCTTTGAAAAGGCACATGGAGACAGCCAGGCYTATCTGTCAGGCATTTGCCTGAAATGTGAATATTTTCTGGAACAGAGAATCTGGATCTGCCTGTAACTCTGACGTGCTGGTGGAAGCAAGGAAGATGGCCTTTAGCTGACAGCTGCTACCTGTGCAGTAATTACTAGCATGCGCTCTCCTTGCTCAAAACCATCCTCTCCTCAACATGCCCACTCCTCTGCTGGTACCTGCCCCTTTCAGTGGCCTGATGTGTTCAGCTGAACCAGTTGGGCAGCACTTTTCTCACCTTTCACCAGCCTGAGCATGCGCTGCAGGGTTAACTCTTTCCGGGCAGCCAGTGGGAAACTGGCCAAAGGGACTGGTGTGCACTGAGAATGCACCSTGTGTCTGCTGGGTCAGTGTTTAACCAGCCCAGCCCCTTAACACTCTGTGGTTTTGGGAGGTTAGGGAATGATGGAGGACYAGAGCCAAAAATGTGGAGATAAGGGACAAGTGCCAGAGGATGTAAGAATGTCATAGTGCTGACACGGAATGCCAGGACTGGAGTCAGTAGCAGGTGAATATAGGCTGTATGTATAGTACCCATTTTGAAGAATTTGTTACAGATTTAAGAGTGAAGTATGTAAAGGGCAGTGACTAGCCAGTATAACCTGGGGTGGGGTTGGGGAGGGCTGGTTTTCACTCCAGACTTCCCTCATGTGTAAGACCAGCTGTGATAAGGGGCAGCACCATGGTACCTGAGGGTGGGCAGGGCTGAGCTGTCCGGTGCTGCTCCTTCTGTGGGCAGCTTGAGAATCCTGCTTCAGGGTGTGAGATTTCCAAATGCCTTTTGCTCTGGGTTGCATGCGCTGAGCCTTCTCCTGGGCTGTGCTGGTCCTGCAATAGGATGAAATTCAAGTGCTCTGCTAGGTGGACTTCAGGAGCCTGGCAGAGGTGACTGCTACATATTCAGCCACTTGCTGGTGTCCACATTATCTTTGTTGCTGGCTCATGGTGTGCTGGGCCTAAGCAGATGCTCCACCACTCACTGTGTCCTCTCTTGGGCAGGAGGCCTCCCACCGCTTTGCYCTCCCCACCACTGCCTCAGGAGGAGCTGACAAGCAGGAGAACTTTGTACTAAGCATGTCAGGGTAAGTGGTGGTGGTCAGCTTCCTTCTGCAGCAAAGGGTGCAGGTCCTGGAGGATCTGTGGTGAAGGGCTTTGCAGCAGCCCTGTTGTAATGGGTTTTCTTTAATAGGAGGTTTTGCCTTAAGGAAAACAAAGTAACTCTCAGGCTGGTGAAGGTAACAATCTGTGGCTGTGTTCTTCCAGGCTGGCCTGAGCCAGCCTTGTGCCATTTCCTGTTCACTCCTATAACATATTCACTGATTCCTGACCACATGCTAGTGCGTTGCCTCAGTGCTGTGGAGAGTTTGCCAAGGGCATTTTTTTTATGATACAGGGAGTTGCAGTTACGAGACCGAATTCTGCTTTTGGCTCAGTGTCTGACTCTTGACTGTGGAGAAATCTTAGCCTTTGTCCTAATCTCCCTAAAACAGCAATAGTAAGTCTTCACACAGAGCMAACTGAGGCTTGTGCAGAAGGTGTTATAGGCGTGCAGTTCTTCTGAAACTGATGTCCATTTTTTGATCTTCAGTGTGATTTTCAGTGTGGCTCCTGGTCTCAAYAGCTGCTCTGGCAGAGGTCACAAGCTTGTCACAAAGCAGTTAACCTTAGTCCTTAGGAGTGTCACAGTGAGCATTGCAAGAAAACATGCAGTAATTCTGTATTAAGTTTGAAAGTTATCTTCTTCAGATCTTAGTTAATTTAGTTGTCGTTTTAAGGTGGGTCTTGCAGTGTTGATCTAAAGGGTCTCTAATATAGTAAACTGTWAGGTATGGCCCAACCAGATGCTTCAGTCTTCTCCTCACACTGTTCATTATAAATGTGGGTCATCTTGCAGGACCTTTCAAAGAGTTTGGGATGTGTTTTTTTTTATTTATTTACGTTTGTTGGGTTTTACATGTTTAGGGTCTTTTTCCTTGGAATAGGGGTGTGGTTTGTAGCTTTCGACCCCTGTAGGAATCACTTAGCACTTCCATATCAGCAATTAATTTATTGTCTTGTGCTTGTGCCTGCTGTAGCTGTTTGTAACAGCAACCAAATTGTTGACAGGTGATAAATGGCATAAGAATGGAATCAGAAATAAAGGTAATGTTTTAGGCAGAGCAGTTAGGGTGAGATGGCTGATAAAGAATATGACAGGAGTTGGCCATAGGCCAAGAACTGGGGACTTGGAAGTGTCCAAGAAGATGAGTGTTCTGAAGTGAAGTGTTCAGCTTCTGGGCAGGAGTAGTGTTCAGACTGTGGACAGGAGGAACCGAGCTGGCTACACAGGACGAGGAGGGGAGGTGTTAGGTTGGCAGTTGATGGGTGCCTCTTGTGACATGTGTTGCCTAGATCTTTCCTCTCATTCCAGCACAGACCAGGTGAAAGGCATGTTGACACTGCAGGGAGATGCACTGTGTCAAGCTGTGAGTACTTGTCACACTTCTTGCTTTGTACTGCAAGGGGTGGGTATACTTACTACCTTTTGATCACCTCAGGGAGGGAGGTCACCCTGGTTAYGCATTACCATTGATCAGTGTTCTCTGCCAGTCCTCCCTAACTGGCCTAGATGTTTCAGCAACCATTGAAATTTGTCAAGATCCAGCATCTGACACCCCTTTCTACCACCATCATGCGGTGGTGAGTGCTGGAGTCAACTTTTATGGGGATTCCTTGCCTTTACCACCTTTGTTGTGTAATAACTAATTTTCCTTAGGGATCTTCTGGGCTGAGGTCACGTGTCCTGCCTGGATCCTGATTCACTCAATGCTTTTCAACCTATTCTTTGTATTAATATCATCCTGTGGGAAYACTGAGGTTTTGGCTATGCCAGGACTGCAGAAGGCAGCTTGCCAGGATGATCTGAAAGAAAGTAGTGTAACTGCCAGCCTCCATCTTCTGCATACAGACATTTCTTGCTCTCAYGTGCTTGTTTCTTTCTTTAAGGATGTTAATCTGAAAATGCCGAAAARCAATCAGCTCCTGCATTTTGCATTCCGGGAAGACAAGCAGTGGAAATTGCAGCAGGTACTGTTGGCTGTAGATGCCCTCCCATCCATAGCYTCTGTGCTCTCTAAGCAATAACTTTAGTCCTTTGAGAGAGACTGTTAYGTCCATTCCACATGAGTTACAGTGGTAAAAGCTAGGGGAAGAAGCAGGTGCAGTTAAGTTGGTTAAATTCAGTTGGGGTGCCTGGGCTCATTCCAGACACATCAGCTGATGTGAAGGCTGTCTGCATAGCAGTCATGATCCTTTAAAGGAGTGCCTGAGGTGCCTGTGCAGGATTGTCCCGTGTCAGCCCAGGCTAGCAGGCAAAGAGTAGCTTCAGGGGCTTGAATAGCTTGCTCTCATTCTCTTACAGATGCATTTGTTTACACAGAGMAAATCACTATGCTACTGTAGCATGTCTGAGTTCCCACAGTAAAGAGTTAAAAGAATGCAGCTATCCAGAACCAGAATCTCTTWCCCATCATTTTGCTGGGAGATACTTGGTTCCAGGACCTGACCTAGTGTCTGAAGACATGGTTTTCCTCAATTACTTTGTCACAGCTGAGTAGGTTGGAGGAAGATGTATTCAGTGTGCTTCCCTGTGCCATAGCTCAGGTTTTTCTAGGTGATGAGTGCATTTGACATTGGCTACAGTTCCCAAAGCMTGCTTTAGCAGTGAAAGCTCTACCTAGTATCTTGGTAGAAATCTAGAAAATCTTGTACTTGGGATGTTAATGCCAAACTTGACTGAATTTGTTTATGCCTTGAAAGAAAGCAAGGAAGTTTTTGTGRCAACACTCAGCAATACATYCTGTTTTGTGGCGGTGTTGTACTGYTGCCTGGTTGATAGACTTCTACCAGCTTTTATGGAAAACCCTTTCCTTTATTTTATTGCATTATGTATTCTAACATTGTTCAGATGCAGTGTGAGTGTCTAAAGAACTGAGTGCAGAAGCATTTAGAGTGTTTATATGGTGAACTTTGGCCTGTCTGAATTAAAAATTAGAATCTCAAAGGATCAWGAGTGTCTTCTCTTAATGAATGATGTCAGCTGGAGTTCTGTTTCTCTGTACAAAGTGACGTCAGGGATAAGAAATTGTAGTGCACGTTTTTGAGGAACTCAAGTGCAGATACATAAATTTTCGAGGAAGTTGATTAGAAAGCAGAGCAAAATCAAGGGGGAATATGAATGAAGCAAATCTTTATAACAGCAAGGTTGGTACTGCCTGGCTGGGTAATGCTGCCAGGATTGGTTCAGCTTGCTCAGAAGCCTCTGGGAGATGTAAACATTGGAGGTGGTGATGTTTGGAGATGCCCAAGTACCTTCAGAGTCTCTGCAGTCTGACAATGGATTTCTCATTCTCACTCTTCTCTCTGTAGCCTCCAGTGCAACAGCTTTCTAAGAGCAGGGCTGTTCTGTGTTCCCTGAGCTCCGCATCAGAAGGAACCAGAGCCAGATCTATGCCAGGAGGTTTCTACTAGGATGACCTGGGACTGCAATTGCTGGAAGGCATTGTAGATATATCAAACTACAAATACCTCAAGCTGTGTTGCCCGTCTCCCAGCAGACACTTCTCATACAAACTTCTGTGCTTAGCTCTTCCTTTTGCACCCTCTGATTTACTGCTTGGGCTATTCTTTTAAATTTTCATGCTGCTGCCTGAAATTGTACACAGGTCAGTTTCTGCCAGGGCCATTGTCTTCCTCTGGTTTGTCTTTGCTCCCATGAAAGCAAGGATACACCTATCAACCTTGCTTTGATAACCRTGTTCTTCTTGCTTGAGAGGAACTCAAGCCAGCTGTGTCCTGAGTCTGGTCCATTCCTACACAAAGGCACAGCTTCTTGATGCTTGAGATAACTCTCAATCCCAACAATTTTACTTCAGAAGGACTCTGGGATACTGCCAGAGACACTGTATTAGAAATCAGTGCTTCCTGCTCATTACTGCTTATTGATGTCACTGATTTTAGCTCTGATAGGATGAAATAATTGTTCATGGTGCTAGAGCTGACTGCTGTATGCCATTAGCAGTAGAGAATTTCTACCAAGTGGTCATGGTCAGAGCGCTTCTAGGTTGAGAGTGCCTGATGTCACTTCAGGGCAGCAGCATTTGTACTKACAATCTAGGTTGTAGCTGTCAGACTGTTCTGCATCTCCAGTCTATGAGTGAAGAGCCCAATAACGCTTCTGGGCAGCAGTGGTAGGTTTGTGTTAAATAATTGTCTGGCCTTTAGACATGGCATTAACATTTGAGAAGACTCAATTCTTAAGGTTAGTGAGATAACTGGGGAAATCTTTACTTCCCAGCATGTGTTATTACAGAGTGTTTCTTTCATAGGGCTGCATTTGTACCTTTGCAGATCCAGGATGCTAGAAACCATGTGAACCAAGCCATTTACCTGCTTGTGAACAGAGATGTGAACTACCAGTTCAAAACAGGCTTGGAGGTGCTCAAGGTGAGGAGAAAGCCCCTGCTGCTTGGGTAGGAACAAACATTTTTCTTCCCTCCATTTGTTGTTTTAAACACCGTTAATGCACATTACTGTCTGGGTCTCTTAGGGGAAATGGACTTCACAGTTGTACCTGTATGTASCTATGTCAAGCAGTGTCCATGTGACCTCATATTTTACATGAGTCTGTACTAGTTTAGCATTAGTAACAGGGCTTTACATCCTGGTGAACAGTAATCTGAGCAGTCAGGTCCCTGTTACACACCAGTGATAATCTGTGAGGATTTTCCTTGATCTTCTGTGGATGATGTTACATAACTTACACTCTTCTCTGTTAATCAGTGCTGCTGCTGAGAGCAGCAGTGAAGCAGCCATCAGCAGACAGAAGATGACAGCACTTGTGATTTACTGAAATTCGAAAGTGACTTCTCTCTTGCCAGTAGTRTTTGCTGGGGTCTAATACATAGCAGCTGATGCATGGCAGAGAAGCCCAACCTTTTGCTTGGATATGCTTTCTGAAGGCACCAGAATTTTGGCTTGCTCATTAGAATCCATCACAACATCAAACATGAGAAAAYGAAACCTCTTCAGTTTCCATAATGGCAAAGGTTGCTCATAGGAAGAAGCTACGTAATGAAACTATTTCCTTTTACTTTCAGGTGGAAGTAGGGAATTAGTCATAATACCAAATACCTRCATCTTAGCAGTCATGAGCTCTACAACAGACAAATGTTGCTTTCCCCTATTTTTCTGGAAGAAGAGGTTTGTCCAAATAGAGCCTTTGAACTGTGGCAGGATTGGCCTCGCAATGAGCTACTGTCCTCACTCATAGCTGGTCATGAACATGGGGATCCCATTCAGCAGTTGTACCTGTGATGTGGGAGTGGGGAGACTGAGAATGCAGCTTGTCATTTTTTCTTTAATGCCTGTTCTTCTGAAGAGCTGCTGATGAGCTTGTTGATGCTTCTGTGGCATCAGTAATTGATCTTACATTGCCTTGGTATTCTCTATCATGAGTATTTCTTCTCTCATCAGTCYCTGGTATTGAACACTCCTGACTTGTCTCATAAGTCCCTGATGGTGGTAACAGTTAAACTGCATTTATGTAGAAGCCACCTCTTCCCAATAAGGTCCTGAATTCCTGGAAGGGTTAGGGATAATGGCAGTTGTTGTTTAACAGTTGCAGAAGGCTGTAGGATTCKGCAACACACTGTCCAGAGCTGTTCAAGAACCACACTCAGCAATGTTCTGTACTTGCAGCTTATGGATGCTGTGATGTTGCAGCTCTCCAGAGCCCGAAATCGGCTGACCACTCCTGCAACTCTGACTCTACCAGAAATTGCCTCCAGTGGTCTCACGGTAAGTAGGTGGTGATCTAGATCTCTATACAGGTCTAGCAGCATGCAGCAGTTTGGATACTGGGCTGCATCCTGGTGGAAGTGAGTTTCTGAAGTGTCTCCTGAGGCAGAACTGAAGCAAGTGCAAAYCCTGAGTGGTTTTGGCTGCTCTGTATCTTCCTGTGGGAACGGAGATACATGAGGCATGAGGACTCTGGTTCTCTAAGAGTAAATTATGTTCTCTGCCCAGGAGTCTTGTCCACGGATGATTTGCCCTTCTGAACACTGCACTGTCCTCTCTTGTCACTGTCATGCACACGCCATTTAATCAAGGGCAGTGAGAGCAACAACCATTGCCTGCAGCTGCTCAGTCTTTTTTTCTCTCCTAATGTGTTTTTTTTGYCATGGGGTAATTGTAGTGTGCTTTGGGAAGAGGGATAGAAATAATGACCCTTTCACTGACAAAGAAACTCATTTTCTTGCCAGAAAATGTTCACCCCTGCGCTGCCTCCAGACATCCTTGTGAATTTCTATATTAACCTGAACAAGCTGTGCCTCACTGTCTACCAGCTCCACGTGCTGCAGCCCAGCACAACCAAGGTGATGCYTCCTATCTTCTGGGCCTTGTTTAGTTCCCTCTGCGTGTCCCACTGTGAGAAGAAGATCACACTGCTACTTGGTGCAATGTTATGTTCATAAGATAATGCAGAAATTACTTTAGCTGGTGCTAAGTGTCTGTGTTTAGGTCTGCTGCACACAGAGCACTGGTTTTCAATCTAGGGCATGGCTGCTTAGCCCAGAAGAACATACAAATGCTCTGGAGTAAGCCATTTTTTACCAAATACTTCAAATATAGTCTGATAATTTTGTATCATTTTGGAAGGGCATAATTATATTAATCCAGTTTACATCAAAGTAGCATCTTGGGTTTCCTGAAGAGAGTTTTGATGGATACTTTTCTGCTTMACCTGTTGCATGGGTCAACTTGCTGTCATGTAAAAACAGCTTTAAACTCTTAAACTTTATAAAATGAAGTCCTTCCACAAGGAAGATTTTCCTAAAAATCTAGATTTTGTTTTTCTTCTGGATCTTCTCATCKTATTTCTGTAGTGATAAAATTTGTAGCTACATTGAACTTAGCCACTACGTAGAATTCCTCTCATGAAGCTTCTAACAGGAAGGGTTCTAACAAAAGGGATTCCATATTGATGGAGTGTCCAGGCAAATAGAGTGTGGGCATTTCTTGATATCAGGCTACTTACTGAAACTGTAAACCTCAAATGTCTTTCTTCTAAGTGGTTTGTTTACTGCATCAAAATCCTAATGACCTTTTCCTTCTCTAGAACTTCAAGCCTGCTGGAGGGTCTGTTTTGCACAACCCTGGGGCCATGTTGTAAGTACAGTCACTACAAAAGTAGTGTACCTGGATAACAGGTATTGGTGTGTCTTGAGGGTGAATTCCAAACAGCTGTGTGCAGTTTCCATTATTGCATCTTGGAATTGGAGAAGCTGGAATGAATCACTTTCTGTCCGTGTGAATGCTCTGTTGTGTCTCTTTTAATGACTTGGTCCTAAAGGCCAAAAGATGTGAATTTCCAGGATTCAGCCCATCTGTATAGTGCCATGAGCTTATCTAGAGATGATGGTTTACAACCAAAATGTTTGGTTACTGGCATTGCCATCTGCATTTCCTGCCTCTGTCCCTGTCTGGAATGAGGTGAAGTTCCTACCTTCACTCTTTAGATTAACTCTAAATCTGGTCAGAGGTGGACTGAGTGTTTGCATTCTGTAACTTTTCCAGGTGCTAATTTAAATATGATAGAAATCATCATAATCTCTCATGGGAATGTAGGACAGTTGAGATGTGTTCTGTGCTGTTGTGTGTGAAGCTGTGCTCTTTTCCCCGCTCCAGTGAGTTTGGCAGCCAGCGGTATGAAGTCAGCCATGTCCATAAAGTGGAATGTGTTGTCCCATGGTTAAATGATGCCCTTGTCTTCTTCACAGTTTCACTGCAGCTTTGCCAGCAACTGAAGGATAAGGTAATGGCCTTGGAGAAGGGCTTTGTATTTACCTCATGAACCTTGAGAGGACCTCAGATCTGATGTGATATTCTGTTCAACTTGCTGAAAACAAGGGGATGAGTCAGTGTTCTGGAGCCAGGGAACTGGCTGGCACTGCCTAGGAGRCAGCCATCAGATAAGTATAGTGGTGTGGCAGGTGTCTGCTGAGGCCAGTGACTAGATGTAAAGGAGCAAGTAGACCCTTCTGTGTTTACAGTCATGGGGTGGATGAAAGGAAACACCAGAGTGCTGGAGAGGAGCATGGAGACCAATATAGATTCCAATAGATCGATGCTCCATTCCAGCTCTGCAACTGGCCTGGCTGCCACCTTGAGCAAGTGACTTTGTACTCCTTGTGTGACAGCAGCACCAAACCTGCCCTTCAGTACTGGGGTRTTGAAGTGTGCAATGCTATGAAGCTCAGTCTCCTCCCTCACACATTATGTACTCTTTTTTTTTGTGGTCCAAGGAGTATAGGAACTTACCTGCTTTTCTTCTTGCTTTCCAGATCTCTGTTTTCTCCAGTTACTGGAACTACAGGCCATATTAATTCTCTGCAGAATGATCTAAGCCTTTACAGTACTTCCCATGTCTCTGTGTTCTCTCCTGTGAGCTGAGACCAGGTCAGCCTGAGGAGTGTTAGGGTTCACTGCCAGATGCCCTCTACAGGGCACAGTCAGTGTACCCAGAGACACAGCTTTAGTAGCCTTGCCTGGGATTGCTGCATAAGCAGGGCACCAAGTAGTGCTGGGTGGTTGCCTGGAGCTTCCACCGGTCCCTTTTGTGYGTTGTGTGGCTCACATTTCCTAAGCCCCTGATGAATTACACAGGTCTGTTAAAAGGGGTGGGTTCTCTAGACTACCCTCACTAACTAGATCTGTGCATTGTGCTGTATCTAACTCTTGGATGTGAGGTGGCTGAGAAGGAGGGAAAACAGGCTAAGTTAACACACCTGTTAAAAGGTAGGGCACGTTGCTCTATGTAATGAAATAATGTTTCTGTGATCTGGTCCAGCTGCGCTTATGACTAACCTTGAGTGACTCTCTCCCCTGCCTGTTCTGTCCATGCCCATGTTACTGATTCCCTTTTGGGGATGCTTGTACTTGCTTGTACTTGTTTGAATTCTTTTCCCCCTCATCCAGCATCAATGTGATAATTATTTTTTCCTAAGCCCTAGTTGGGCCAGTTGGTCTTTTCCAGGTTTAGTATCTTGTTTTCACTGCCAGCCTTTGGAGTTGCCTTGGTGTACCTTGTGCAGTCTTTCATCTTGTCATTAAACCCAAAGTGAGTACCRCATTGCTACTATGACTTGCTGCCTGTGGATGCTACAATGTGTAAYTACTCCCTTTAGCCATTGATAACCCTGAAATAAAGACCCTCAGACCTGCAGTGCTCCTGTGGCCTGTGGAAGAGTGTCTGAGATCCTGTGCTCTCTCATGAGTGTTTCTCGGTTATGCATGCTGGGTTGTCTTTCGCTTGTTGGGAGGACAGTAGTGGTTTCTGGGGGCACAGCTGGGTAGCTCTTCAAAGGCTGGGCCTGTTTTCATAGCCTCAGCTCAGTGCTGTTTGATATCTGAATACTACCTGAAGCAGTTTTCCAAACGTGCCTTGACAGTTATGTTTGGAAGAGGCTGTAGACACTGAGACTGGGTTGGGTTGGCTCATGGAGCTGGTTGCAAGTGATGAGGAAGCATCTGACCTGTCTCYTGGGTGGCTTCAGCTAGCTGTGTCCAGACTGTTTCTGGTGGCTTCCCTTACTGGAATTCCTTACCCAAGGTCTGGCATGCATGCTGAACTGAGGATTGCAGATTCACYGCATTTCCCAGAAAACCTCAGGGCTACTGGACAAGCTCGGTTGCCCATTGACATGTTGGTGGTTTTACAAGTACTAACCAGAGCTCTGTGCTCAAAAGGAAGAGATCACAGAATGACTGAGGATGGAAGAGGGATCTCTGGGGTCTATCTGGTCCAATTCCCCTCTCAAGAAGGGCCATCCAAACCTTGTCTCCCTAAGACCATGTCCAGAGGGGTTTTGAATCCTTCCAAGGATGGAGACTAGAGATCAATTTGTTGCTTTAATTTTTATTTGTTCTGCATCGACCTCTGCTCTGGACTTGTGGCCTGCCTTGTCTACACTCTCCCTTCCTGCCCCTTTGCAAGATCCCTGGGATCCTCTGTGGGTTAGTACCAGCCTTGTACTGCTGGAGCTTCCTCTGGGTGACTTGGTGCCGTGTATGGTCTAATGCTTTCTAATGTCATGGGTTGCAGAGAGTAACAGAGCTTACATGTAAGCATCAGATTGTGACTCATGAATGTGTGGTGGTGATGGATGTGGAAGGTGGAGAGGCCTGGGTGGACTGATGCAGTAGCAGACTTGTTACTGATTCAAGTCAATTAACCAAATGCTGCTGTGTCACTGGAACAGCATGAAACAGTCAATATCTGCTTTTTCTTGCACTGTGTTTTTATTGTCTTTTTTGAGCTTGATTTGGGGAACTTAGAGTTCACATGATCCAAACCTCTCCTTGTGGCTCTTTCTTTTTCCCTTTTGTCCAGGGAATCTCTGCTTTGTCTTTAGGGGATAGAGGCTGTCTCTTTAGTTCCACTGGCTGTCTGCTTTTGATGGCTCTAGCAGCTGAGTTGCTGCTGCCCGGATGCTGCTAGTTCCGGAACCACAGAAGACGCTGATCATGGGCCCCTGCTGATGAGCTGCTGCATCCTCTTCTGATAGGAATTGGAGTTGCCTGAGCTAAGCTGGAGAGTACACTGGGCAGCTTTCAATAATTGCAGCAGGCTAGTGACAGCAGAATCACAGATCAGGAGAGGAATAAAGAAACTTTTCTGGCTGCCCATAATCTATGTCAGTCTGAGCAGGTGTTTCTGTATTGTGCACAAAGCATTGAGAGACATGAGCAGAATCCTGTGGTGCTCTTCCCAGCATCTTGGCACTGAGCAGACAGGAATGTTTCCTTGCTGAGAGCTAAGGCTAAATGTTTGTAAAGATAGAGTAATCTCTTCCTGGAGCTGGAGTTGAAACTACAAGTATTCGTGTGTGCTGATGCTGGTCAGCTCAAGACTTGCCACTGCCAGGACTTTCCTGGAATTGCAACTAACATCACTGGCCTCATYCTGCCTTCCAGTTACAGTGGGAACATCAGAAGGGCATGTACCACCAYTCTGATTCATGAAGGTACTTGGCTGCCTTTCAGGGTACTGCCTTCCGGAGTTGGTGTTCTCGGAACAGAATCGTGTATTTCATGTTCTGTGTGTGCCCCAGTAAAAAGGGTTACACTGCCCATTTTGGGGGAAGATTATATCACCCATCTCTGTTAGCATCCCGTATTTCAACAAGTGCCTCTGGGCTGGCTACTCTGTTTTCCCCATTAGGACTTGGAAGTGTTTGAAGTGCTATATATCTACATCACACAGGGCAGGGAAACCCACAAACACCATCTGAGTTCAGGCTGCTTGTGGGAGTGTTATACAAGGTGACAACAGTCTCAGGCATGTGGTGGGATTCTTGGGGCTGTCCTGTGCAGGGACAGGAGTGGGACTTGACGATCCTTGTGCATCCCTTCCAACTCAGGGTATTCTGTGATTTTGTAATGTAAGTGGAGTGGCCACACGCTATGTTCTCCCTCCATGGCTGGGCTGCATGAGTTGCTGGGATCAGAGCAGCCACCTGTCCAGCCCAGCTCCAAGGGACRCTCTCTGTCAAGTCTCATGCTGAGCTCTGCAATCACCTGTGAAAGTGGCAAAGACAGCAATGTCCCACTCAGCCTCAAAGAATCTTCTTGCCAGTCAGCTCAGGAAGTTGTGTATCTCATTTCCCAGGTCTGGGCTTTGGCTTGGCTCCTTTTCTGCTCAGAGCTTCTCAGGGTGGGGACCTGGGGACCTGCTGGGCAGAAAGACAGTCTCTGTGAGCTGGGGGGACTGGAAGAGAGGTAGCCATGCACTCCTCATCCCCCACTGGAGGATGCAGGCTCACCTGAGCCTTGTAATGCTGCCCTGGAGCTGGGGCTAGGGGCTGGCAATGCAGAGTAGRAAAGCTATGCCAGGCTGGAGCAGTGTGGAACAAGATGGTTTCTGTCATAAAGCTGCTGCTCTGGTTTGCTGCAGGCGTGTGAGCACAGGCTGTGGGGTCAGCYTGGTGCCCTGTGATCCTCAGCATTTTACTGAAATCTTCCAGAATCGTTGGGATAAATAAAGCCTTCTAACACTGTCTTTTTAGTGTTAGCAAGTAAGGTATTACTTTATTCTTGGCCAGAAGGTATGTGTGTGGCTGACAAAATTCCATCCTCCACACAGACACAGACCTATTTATTCCCTTTTMGCAAACAAAGAAATTAATGGTTATTGGTTCTAAATTACATAATTCTCTTCCATTAATTAGTTTTCTGTCCTCAATTATCTTTCATTAACTAGTTTTCTATCCTCTATTRGTTATTAATTTCTCACTTCTCATGGTAATTATATTTTTTAATCTTTTATCTTTCCTGGGGCTTTCCARCACACACATACTGATCTTTTTTAGCTTCTTCTGACTTCTGCAAAATGGCCTTGTAGTACATAAATTCTGTGCTTCATGTATCCAGTTTCAACAATGTATCACCCAGGCCTTGTTCRTTGATGCCTATCAAGGTTAGCTTAGCAAAACTTCAAAAATGTCAGTAATTTTCCCATGCTGTATTCCCACACTTACTGGTGTGAAAAATGGGGTTAATATGTTGGCTTTTGCTATAACGTTGTTATATGTTAATCACATATGTACATCACAACTGCGCATGCTCTGAAGATAAAGTTGAAAAGTCCACAAGTGATGATGAGTATGGTCTCTTATTAGTGGGATACCCCCACGACCACCAAATTGGGGATGGCACAGGAGCACTTGCAGAACTGTGATGCCATGTATTTCCATGAACTCTTGATAGATCAATCACTTTTTGTGGTATCATCGCGAAAACCCCCTTTTCTGCTATCTCTGTAGCTGTTTCGTCAGTGAATCAATTTCCCTGTTTTGGAGTGGTTTTCCCCTTTTGGTGACCCCTAAAATGCATGATAGCTACCTCTGTRGGTTTCCTGATGCTCTCCAAGAGGGTGAGGATTTGCCTAGCATGTTCATTRCCTTGAGTGTTCAACAGTCCCCTTTCTTTCCAGATGGCTCCATGGCATGGACAATGCCAAATGCATATTTAGAATCAGTCCATATATTTACCTTMTTTCCTTTGCCCAGGTCTAGGGCCCTCGTAGGTGCAATTAGTTCARCCTTCTGCGATGACACATCTGCTGGCAAAACTTTTGCCTCAGTCACTTCATCTATGGTGGTTACTGCTTAACCCATCATCCTCTTACCCCTCTTTATGAAGCTGCTGCCATCTGTGAATAGTTCCCAATCTGCATTCTCTAGGGGCATGTCTCTCAGGTCCAGCCTGCTGGAATAGATCTCTTCGGTTGTCTGCAAACAGTCATGCTCAGGCACATTGTCAATTAAGGTAGAGGACAGAAACATGACAGGGTTAACAACAGAAGTTGATTTCAAGGTAACACCATCCTGTTCCAATAAMACAGATTGGTAGTTAAGCATTCTGCTAGGAGATAGCCAGTGTCCCCCCCCACCTTTTGTTCCAGCATGGATACCATTGCATGTGGTGCATACACAACGATGTGCTACCCAAGGGTGAATTTGCGGCCCTCCTGTATTAGGATGACAGTTGCTGCCGCAGCTCTTAAACAGCCAGGCCACCCTTCGCTAACATTGTCCAGCTGTTTTGAGAAGTAGGCCAGAGCTCTTCGTTGATTTCCAAGGTGCTGTGCTAGTACCCCWAGAGCAACATTTAGTCACTCATACATGAAAAATTCAAAAGGTTGGTCAGATTGGGCAGTCCCATTGCAGAGGCTGACATTAGGGAGTGTTTCAGCTGTTTAAATGCAGCTCTAGTGTCCTCAGTCCACATAATTATTCCCTTCTCAGCTGCTTTTAATACTCCATGTAGAGGTTTTACCAGCAGTCCATAATTTGCTATCCATAAATGGCACCAGCTTACCATTCCCAGGAAAGCTTGCATCTCTTACTGTATGGGGCTCTGGAAGACAGATACGGTTTCTTTTCGTTCTTTGCTAAGCKGTCTGTGTCCACAAAAGATCTCRAGCCCCRAATAAACTACTGCTTCCTTGGCAAATCTGTGCCTTGTCTTTTGAGACTCAATACCCACCTAAACCCAGATAGTTCAAAAGACTTACTGTGAGCTGGATGCAGTCTTCTCGCGTTTTGGCTGCAATTAAGATGTCATCAACATATTGAAGAACTTCTCCTCCTGGTTCTTGTTTACTTCAGTGCTCCAGTTCCTTTGCTGGCTGATGGCTGAATATAGTTGGGCTATTCTTGAAACCCCGAGGTAGAAACTGTCCAGATGAGTTTAATCTTTCTTCCTGTCTCAGGGTTCTCCCATTCATAAGCAAAAAGCTCTTGGCTGTCTTTGTGGACTGGGATGCAGAAAAATGTGTCTTTCAAGTCTATGGSAGTAAACCATCCCAACTCGTCTGTTAGTGTGGTCAAAAGAGTGTAGGGGTTTGGTACAACTGATTGTATATCCTCTGTGATTTTGTTGATTGCCCTTAAATCCTGCACTAATCTGTAACTCTTGCCATCAGCCTTCTTTACTGGCAGGATGGGCATGTTGTACTTAGATTTACATTCCACTAGCAACCCAAATTTAATGAACTTTTCAATTATAGGTACTAATCCCCTGTGACCTTCTAATTTCAAAGGRTATTGTTTTCGCCTCACTGTATAGCTCCAGGTTTGAGTGCAATACTCACTGGTTCTGCTTGTTTGGATCTTCCTGGAACATCACCAGCCCACACTATAGGGTTGACAGCATTTTGAATTTTGATAGGGATTTCACCATAGTTCTCCTGTAAAAACAGTGCAGCAACTTCGACAAGTTTAGACGCAGGGATTATAACTTGTACACTTTTTCCTTTTTTAAATTTAATTTCCGCTTCCAGTTTCTCTCCCCATCAATGGTTGTGGGSAGTTTGGCATATAAAGGAATTKATGAGTTACCCAGTGTTTTCCCAGTTTGAATTTTAAAGGTTTGAAGAGAGGCCGTGTTTCACTTACCCCAGTAGCCCAAATAACCTTCCCAGTATCTTGACTCAGTTTCCCTTCTAAAGTATTTAACACAGAATATGTCGCCCCAATATCCACCAGAAATTCAACACYGTCTTTTCCCAGCTTARCTACAACCAAAGGCTGYTGGGGGAGAAGCCTTTGATCCCCATCATTCWGATTCTTATTCTGATTTCTGTTCCACAACCATTTGGGGAGCTGAGGATCTCTTTTCCAACATGGGGCCTTTTCAAATGTCCCTTTTTCTTACAAAAGGCACATTAGCCTTTGTCCGAACAAAAAGTACTCCTAGACAGTTTTTCTCGGCTACCTCTCTTGCTGGAATGTTTACCCTTGTCACTAGGATCTCTGTTTCAAAAACGCTTTCCAGGCTACGTTTAACAACTTACTCATGTCCTTTATCCCATCTAACTTATGCAGTTTTCTCCTTATATCACAGGTAGCTTGGCCCATAAATAGATAAGCCAAATGAACTTTTCCCTCAGTTTACTCAGGATGCAGGTTTGTGTATTTGATCGCAGTATCTCTTAACCTGTTTAGAAATTCACTGGGTGATTCATCTGACCCCTGCTTTATCTCATGTACTTTAGACCARTTTAAGGTTTTAGAAACACCATGTCTTAGCCCGTGCACTCTGAGTCTCTGGTGTCATTTTAGCCTATCCATTTGGTCTGGGATATTTGGGTTCCAGCCTGGATCATCCGTTGGGAAGATTTCAGCAGCGGTGCCTTGAATTGATCCACTTGCTATTTGTGACTCTRTAGAATGTGATAGCCTTATTAACCATTTCCTTTTCCATCTAAAAGTTGTAAAAGCTCGAATGGAGTTTTTATCCAGTGACATTCCCGAGAACCAGCGGCAGCACCTTTGGGGCACAGCCCAGGGCTAGGGGGCTCCTCCCCACAGTTCATTTTCTCTTCCCAATTCAAACCATTCCCTCCCATTCCAATCCTCTCCATTCATAGTTTCTCCCCACAATTAAAGGTTTTCTCACTCCAGTTAAACTTTTCTCCCCTATTAAGCCCTGAGGCCCTACCTACCCCTGGCTCCTCCCAGCAGGACCTGTCTTCGACCTTCTGGAAACAGCAGTGGAAAGAGTTCAAAAATTCATCATTATTGCAATTGATTTAGGTGGTTTCCGGGGAGGAAGCAGTGGGACAGCATCTCACCACAAACCTCTGTCAGGGGACCCAAGGCTGGGATGAGTGGGGGGGGGGGGGAAATAGAGGTATATTGTAGAGAATAAAATAAAAAAGTGAAATAGAATATATATTATAACAAAATAAAAACCATGAAAAAGTAAAAATAACAGAAGAGCTTGCTCTGTTGGGACTTCGGGTTTCTTGTCCAAATCCCAGCAGAGTCTGAGCAAAAAATCTGTGGGCTGGGAAGGACATTGCTGCTGAATGGCTGAATAGTTCCAAAATTCAAGTATCAAGTAACAACCTGAAGTCGCAGAAGTCCCAGTGCACACGTTCAGTTCCCTCATTTGAAGTTGAAAGCTCAGCACCATTTTTGACTCTGCTTTGTAATGATGAATGGAAAAATTCAACAAATTTCTCTTAGAAAGACCCCACGAAGATTCGTGTTGGAAGAGCTCGCTCGAGGCAGCCCCAAGTCCTGCCCTGCTTTAGTCCCTCTCAAGCCCATTGTGCTTTCCATCTGCTTCGCTCCAGCTGCCCCAAATCACCGTTAATTTCTCGCAATTGAAACAAATTCGAGCCCTGGGTGTGTCAGAGTAAGAGTAGGAAGAGCTTATTCAGGGATCGCCATCACAGGCTCAAGAGCCCCGACGTGGGGAAATGAACTGAATTTGGGACGGAGCAAATCAGAACAGGAGARTGAGGAGTAAAATAAACTCTGAAAAAGAA